TACGACGCTTTGTACACTAGTAGGAGGGCTTGGACTTAACGAGAGTTGTTCTAGTTCTCTCGCGTGACGCTAAGCTTCTCTCCGCAAGTTCACTTTGTGTAGCGACACTTGGCTTCGGTCATCTGGCGTTACAGATGAACACCGCTTAAGCAAGGTATGATAGTCGTCGACCGACAACCGTTGAGTAGCGAGCAAGACACCTTCAATGCAGCCATGTATATTGCGGATGGCCATTCTTGTCTGAAAGTTGTTGGAGAGTGTTGGAGCAGAGGGACGGAGGGAAGACGATCGATCATCATCGGCGTCATCCAAATCCTCGCACGTGCCATCTTCAATGCGCGGTCCGGGTTACGCTACCTCTACATGGGTTGGGCAGCTTCTAACTAGTATGCAACGACTATCTTGCGTAAATTGACGAAATACTGAAAGGGACAAAGATGTCCTCAAACGATGTGATTACTGTTGAGCCAAACTTCGAGCTCGAGCCGTATTGCTGCTGTTTCAGGTGTGGTCGGAAACACAAACGGGATATATAGCAAGGTAGGTAAAACAAAATGGTACAAAACAAAGCAATGTGAAAGAATTAACTAGAGCATTATTAGTCTAACGGAATCCGTGGCTCTGCGATGCAGGTCAAATGGTCAGACTATGGCTGCAGCAAACTCAGGAAAGTTTCAGCATCAGGTCTGCTCTTCACCTCCACCTGGAACAAGGACCGACTTCTCAATACTGGAAACTGATCCTCTATCCCCTGCTGGAGCATATCCAAGGACTTGGCCTGTATCGGCGTGCAGAACACCTGAAAAACCAATCCCCGAAGCCGAGATCTCGTGGCCGAAAGGGTAGCATCCCACGTTGACCAGACGCCATAGTCCATATGGCCAAAGAGACTAGGGCTCGACACAACAGTACGAACGATGATCTCTTCCACTTCTTTGGCGCGGGCATCAAAAACTTTACCCCACGACTTGATCGTCGAGGAATGGCGTTCGTTATATATAGGGTGCGAGAACGTGATGGTAACTTTCCGGAGGTACGAAATGTCGAGATCATCCAGAAGTACTGGGCGCAAGGCTGCATATAGATATGTTAAACATTGATGGGCAAAGAGTCAGAAGGAACATACATTGATGCATCAGGTGAACCTCCTCCAGCGTGCAGGACGCCGTTTTCAGAATCGTGCTGACAAAACGAATGTCCGAGTTATCTTGGACGCTGATGGCAAATATACGGAGACGATTAAAGGAGAGACCGCTTAGTCTGGGGTTTAACATGAGGTCGCTCAGCCCGGAGCTAAACGCCGAGGAGGAAATGGAGAAGCTTTCGAGATAGGATGATCGTGCCGGCAAGTCATATTCGGCATCAATAGAGGCCAGACGTGGCACGGAGAGCAGTTCGAGACACCGAATACGAGGATGGAGTTGTATGAAGGTGAGCGTTTCGGAGACGGAGGCGTAACAGATGCTGTCGTGGAAATCGACGGACAGGGAGCGTAGAGAGGGAAATGATGTCGCGCCTCGGTTGACTAGTTCGGTGACCCAGAAGACCCAGGAGACGTCTTTCATCACCAGCCACTCGACACTGGTGAGCGAGGAGATGATGAAGGTGATGATCTCGTCAGGGGGCACGTAGCGATTATCCAATGTGAGGTGTTTAATCACCCGAGGGATGTGAGGGGAGGAACGACACATGGCGACAAACTTGTCGCAGCGAAAGTTGTGGCCAAATGACATCTTTCTGAAGATGTGTATACGTGTACGGGTGTAGAATGCATGAGAGGTGAGAGAGCATGCTTTGAGTGCAGCTGGGTCGTCCCATAAATGGTCGATTACGGCGTCAGTCAGCTCTTGCGGAAACGAGCCGTAATGAAAGCCACTCAAGGACATCTGAAAGGTCGCAGGAAACTATCAGCTAACAAGAAGGATGAACGAGCATTGGACGCTACCGACTGGGGATGTAGACAGCTAGGTCTGTCAAAGAGGGGGTGGCGACTAGTATGTGGACGTCAGGAAACGAGGAAGGCCCGGCAGTTAACAGCAGACACAACGTATGATGATGACGATCTTTTTTTGATGAGGCCGCATGATATACATGGAAAACAATTCCCAGCCCCAAAAGTTGTGGCTTTGATGGGGCTAGATTTTCATTTGTTAAGACACCGGAACCGTATTGAACCTTAACGAGTTGAGTTCCGTCGATCCAAGCAATCATAGGAAATAAGTTGTGGTCAGTCAAAGTAATACAGCTGGTGACCACTGTGTGGGTCCTACACGTCGGCACTCTTGAGTCCAGGACACTGTACGCCTGGTAGGCTCAGAACGGCCGGACGGACGTAACCCCCGTTGGGCAAAACACATCGCAACAAGCGACCCTTGAAACTGCCGGTAAAGATAAGCCTCATATGGGGATAGTAAATAGACTTACCAACGTGCGGCGTGATGTTGAGCTGAATTTGCATAGGCTGGGTATTTGGATGAATGCCGGAATACCAGCATCTTGTCTGGCGGACGCTCATCGTTTCAACCTGAAAAGTATGAATTGAGCCACATCACGGTTAAGAAAAAGTCTCAGAAGATGCGGCATTAGTATCAACAACTGCAGTCCGAGGATGACAAAAGTAGAGTGAAGTTATGAATGACCTTGACATGACGACCTTGCACTAGAAGCACGGACCCTCTAGAAGCGGCAGAAGAGTGCTCAGTATAGTATAGTTCAGGGCTATGGAGTCGAAGTGTGAAAATTGGGCGTTAAGCTTGCGATAAGAAACACTTTCGGTAACAAAGCGTCGACACAGGTGTTTTACTCTGGCTCCGGTTGCACATTGAGCGGCTAGCAACCTCGTTGATTCAAGGCTGTGAATGAGAAGAGTCCTAATCAAACAAGACCAACGGATGGAATACCGAAAGTCTAGTCAAACATGTTGGGTAGGCCAGCCGGGTTTCTGTTGGTAGGTTCTGATACAAGAAGGTCTGCAGGATATTCGTGGGTGAAGCTGGAAATGGCCAGACTCTATGATACACGAAGCGAAGCCAGCAACGGTCGTCGGTTGCCCACTGGTCCGGGAAAATATAGCTTGCCGTGGGGGCCTAGTCTCCGATGGGTCATATATACTGTACATATCGATATTGCACCGTAGGTCAGCTGTACATGTGGTGGAACCGATACCAACTACTTCAGTATTGCGTCCGATGGCTCTGCCGCCAACACTGTAGTAATAGAATATATGAGCTGGATGTTCTCAGCATAACAGCCATACAACGCACCTTCATTGCCGAAGTCCTTCTGCCCGAGCCCTTTTTTCTAGCCCTTCGCCTAGGTAGATCTCGTTCTTCTCCTGGAGGTCAATGGGAAATTGTTAGTGCTTGCCCTGCATGGTTCATCGATAGAGGTAGTAGCCGGATAGTGAGAGAAGAGATCCCGCTGAGGTCGATGATGGCGGTCGGAGACAACGAAGGCATACAGTCTCGTGATCGTCTAGCCCACTCTTACTCTTGAACCACGACATACGGAGCTATCTCGACTTATCAGAATCCTGGCCGACTCAATGCTATATGCGAGGTATTTTCTCTTACCAAGACACGAAAATTTTATCATTGGAATGTAGTAGAAGGCAAAACAACGAAGGACGGTCTGGCTCATGTGCGACGATTTGCTTCATATCTTATGTCTGCTCACGCTGAAAATATGATAGTTCCAGCTCAACCATGGGTCTGCTAAATTCCACATATGCATACAAGCAATTTCTTGCGTTACCCGATCTTCGTGTCCTCGGAGATATCATCGATACCAACGACAACAGCATCCAGGGACGGCTCAAAGCCTTATGGGTACTCGTGTCCTTTGGCACCGTTGGACGTGCCCAAGCACTATTAATAACGATCCGGACTAAACCTGAACAACGGACATGTGGAAACAGCAGTACCGGAGATATCAATACGAATCGAGAGCATAACAACAGAAGCTTCATATAGTTCAGCCCAAGGTGTGTTGCTCTTGTTTATAACAATCTTTTCCAAAACAGTGAATATTATACGTTTTCAGTTAGTCTCCCCGAGGCAGACTCACATCAAGACAGTCGAGATTTATTTTTCAGCTATTCTATGTCGACGCCGGGATTTTCGCCCAGGATAGTTGGTTTCGAGTTGGGGACAATTCATCAATTCATTACTATTCTACTACTGCATTAGCGGATCAAGGAATGGAGCGAGGTCCCTGCCGAAGTGGTATTCCCAAGCAGCACAGTGTGGTGTCGTTGACTTCCTCGTCCGTTCCGAAATTGACCCTTCGCCCCGTAGGCTGCTATTATCAGCTATCATCTCTATGACTACACTAGATAACTTGCTCGGAAATAGGAACTAACTATAATAAATAAAAGGCCTTATTTGTTTGCACCTTGCAGCCTCATTGAGTAAAGCTTGTCATGTTTTAGAGGCGACATCAACATCCCCAAATGTGACTTTCTGAGTATTCAGTAAATAGCAAGAAATCAAAATATCAACCTAGTCGACTAGTAAGAGACAAACCCGTCAGGGTGAAGAAATATCTAGTGATGGTCAGAGAAAGCAACCTTACACTTCAGAGTCGTAAGGATCATTTGAATTCCCAACTACAGCACTCCCACACATGGGAATATAGAGCTTTAATCCTTCCCCAGCCATTTGTGTAAACAATTCGACACCATCAGAAGACGTCTCAGTGAAGAACACGCAAAATATTTTGCGTAGTCGTGCGGCACGCTCCTGGTCGACATACCATCTTGACCACACCATCGCTGTGAATGCATGGGTCATAGGTAGGTCAAAGCCTATATCCAGATGCAGATGCACCAGATGAGGCAGCAGCGCGTGGGAGATGGGCTTATCCGCCTCTGGATACGCGAGCGATTTGCTGAAGGCTTCAAATGCGTTCAGTGTGAGATGCCCAAAATCGAGACGCAAGACCTCAACCGTGGGCGTATCCTTTAGCATATTGATGAGAGGCTGGTCCATATCAATGCCGTTCAAATGCAGATTCTGTAAAGTGCACTGCAATGAACTCGTGGATAATCGGGGTAGGCGATGGAGTGCTGCCTACGGCGATCAGGGTGAATAATACCTTGAGCGCAGAGAAGGTGAAACATGGCAATGCGTAGACTTGAGGTGCACTCAGTTCGCGCAACGACGTATGAACGATGGGGTCAAATAGGTCGAGATTGTACATATGATCTTTGAGAAATAGCCGCTGCAAGTTGTGGGCCTTGCGTAAAATACTGATGTCATTTTGAGGGGATCCGCACATGAGATCAATTTTGATCAGTTGGGACCAAGGGAGATTCAGGGAGGACGGGGATCGAAAGCCGAGCACATAGATATCGTGCAGACGGGGAGCTGTAGCAAGTATGTCCAGGATGCTCTCGTCGAGTTCAAACACGGTGACAATGTGGCTATCGAAGGACCGGGAAAGGCGGAATCGCTCCAGCAAAGGGAGAGTGTGTCTCTGTGGCTTGGGCAGACGACGAGTGAAGTCCGTTGTGGAAAGATAGATTTCGATGGTGCGCCAGTGATCGCAATGGTCCAAGAGCATAGCCCATAGATGCGCATTCGGATCACCACTTTCGTTGTACTGGATCCGGAGAGAGTAGGATTGGGATCGAAGAAGAGATACTTCCAGCTGACGAACGCGACCTGAAAAGTTGAAAGTCCGTGGTTCTTGGATTAGAACCCAAGACCACAATTCAGGATATGATAGTGCGATGTCTCTCCATCTTTGACAGACTTGGGAAAGAATCCAGGGGGTGTCATAGCAGCGAACTCGCTCGTTCGCGATGCGGACCCAAGAAAAGATATAAGTCGATATCTCCGGCATCACCCCCAAGATGGGCGGGTCACCTCGCGCCGACAGCATGTAAGAGTCGCTGGAAGGGGAATTTGCTGATTCCATGATTCTCTGAAATCGAGAGCAGTCATAAACTATCTGTTTCTTCAACAAGAACGCAGCCGCTTACCGACAATAGTAGTTGACACAACAGCGAAGAGAAAGACAATGCGATTCCTTGCGAGCTACATGTCGGCCACCCACAGCGAATCTGTGTGAATCCAACTCAGTGAAGGTTGAAGAGAAGTTGACTCCTCAGTGCCGTGTACCGGCACGGCGTTTAGTGCACGTGGCCACTCAGTTTATTTTGCGTTCAACTCCGTTACATACAGTAAATGATTACTAGATGGCAAGCAATGCCCGTTTCTGCAGTGTTACTACTTCTTATGTACTGGCAGCCGTTAATTATGCCCGTGAACCTCACAACATGGGCTTCAATACCATTTCTAGCGAGTTCTCAGCCTCCGCTGGCATCTTCCATAGGAACAACCTACACACGCATCACCTTTGCCAGGACGCGCGTCGCCTTGAGGTTGGTTCGATTGTAGTGCCTTATTGTGTATGACGCGTCTCCTGCCGTGGCTTGGCATTCTCCTTGTCGTGCGTTTTGTTTTTCGTTCTCTTTCCTACTCCCCTTTGCTCTAATTATTCCTAAGAGTTTCATCGTCGGTCCGGGAACCGATCTGACAAATCTCAAATTCCCAGTCTACCCTGATCTTAGCTATCAAGTTAAAACGTTAATCTCGTATTGTAGTTAGAGGCACGAGGACGAAGTGATCGTGTTGGAGAGTGGTCTTCACCCCTCAGTCAAGCATCCGTGAGTGTAATCCTTGGGACCGGCACTGCATATTATCTTAGAGAATCATTCAAGTAGATTAGGCGAGCCTTTCCGCATGTGATGTCGTATACACAGGTACGAGTTCCGCGAGTATCTATAAAGCGGCTTGCCAGGCTAGTGATGTCGCCCTCTGATTCTGGAGTCATGGATAGAGTAATTTTCCCATCTGTTGCGGAGTTGCATAATGATATTCCTTTTTCTAGCTGGGCTTTCAAGACTGGAACGACCCAACTTACCCAGGCGGGCCAGGCGCTCCCAACAGTGGCTCCATAAAGTAATCGCTGCAGGAGCGACGGAAAATAGGGAACATATACTTACAGCAATAACAAATTGGCGATCTCCGTTGGATCTCCGAGTCCCTCCAAGAGCGACAAGAAGCGCAACAACCCGCCCGAAAAACCGCTACAATACATCCTTGACGCTAAGTCGTTCTCAGATGTTGTTCGTGCCATAATGGACATCAAGGCGTGATACTAGCACATTGCAAAGCTTGATATGTATTACTGACATTAAAAATATTGAATTTTCCAGGGCTTCGATAGGACTCACCCAATTATTTTGGAGGCCACAGTGCATTTTGACATTTGCCGCGAGCTTATACTTTGGACCAATCCGCTGATCCATGTGGCCCACGCAGCATGGTTAACTGGAATTATTTATACCATTCAAGCCATTAGTCCCATACTAGTGCCTCTTACAGGTAGTGTGGTCACTCGAAAAATATTCATATTTGCATCTATCATTGATCGTCTGGCCATCCTTAGCGTCAAGCGTCCATGACCCACTTTGATTTGACGTTTTCACTAATCACTCGACACCGAAGCCTGGTTACACGGTCATTTCTTGGCGTGAATGTGCTTGATGTCGACAAAAGTTTCACGGTAAAACGACTAACAATAGGTTTACCAAGAAACTCTGGATTCCGAAAGGTTGTTGCGTTAGTCATGCTATCTCCTGATTTATCAGGTCTTCCACAGGTCTGCACGGCTGAACGGCCTTTGAAGTTCGACACGACGCGTGTATAAAATGCATACTACGCCTCGAAGGCCTTCATCAGTTATAACCAACAAACTAGCTCCCGCATTATACCAATGTCGAACCTGAAAGCTCTTTTCCAGCCCTCAAAGTTGGCCCAACCACCCTCCGGAATAGGATCTTCATGTCCGCCATGGCGCGGAACCGTTCCGTCCCAACAAACGTCCCTAACAGTATCAACGCCGAGTATTACCGACAACGCGCCGCGGGAGGTGCTGGTTTGATTATCACCGAAGCCGTTCTCATTGCTCAGCAAGGGTACGCGTATCACTCGCAACGTTCTTGGTGCTAGTCCTTATAACCTTTCAGCACCGAATGGCAGGATGCCCCTGGCATCTGGTCACAGGAGCAAGTCAACGGATGGAAAAAGGTTACTGACGCTATTCACGAAGAGGGAGGCGCGATCTTCGCTCAGGTACTTCTTAGTTCCCTCTCGTTTCGTCTACCTTCTGACATGCTCTACTTTTAGTTATGGCATCGTGAGTTCTCGACCTTTCGTATCATATTATATATATACTAACATTTCATTAGTTGGACGCGTAAGCCACCCCGATGCACCTGAGCAAATCGCCTCAGGACTCCCCGTCTATGCACCGTCAGCGATCTCTGCCCGAGGAGGAAAATTCCGTTTCCTCCTTGGTCAGCCAGGCTACGTCACACCTGCTGCAATTGACGACCCTCAAATTCTACTTGCCCGGTGGAAACAAGCTGCCATTAACGCGAAACAGGCCGGGTTCGATGGTGTAGAGATCCATGGCGCGAACGGCTACTTGATCCACCAGTTCCTCGATAGCACCGCGAATCACCGAACAGACCAATGGGGCGGGAGCGTGGAGAATAGAGCTCGGTTCCCTCTTGAAGTTGTCAAAATCGCAGTGGACGTCTGGGGTGCTGATAGGGTCGGTATCAAGTTGAACCCTGCCGGAGGGTATAATGATGTCGGGTATGTCTTCATTCCAAATGATGCGGCTTGTACTTTGTGCTGATGAGTTGGAACAGAATGGCCTCAAGAGACGTTGGACACATTCGGGTACCTCATCTCAGAGATTGACAAGCTCGGGATCGCCTACGTCACGCTCGTGCGATATGCAGAGAATCTTGATCCAGTTATTGACGGGGCTCGGCGCGCAACAAAGCATGATGTTATCGGAACGTATGCGCCCTTGTTGAAGAATCCGGCTACGAAGGTATTCGCGAATGCGTCGTTCACAGGCGAAGAGGCGGCACGATATGTTGAGGACGAGAAAGTGGATGGAGTTTTCTTTGGCATTCCTTGGGTGGCGAACCCAGATTTAGGGAAGAGGTTTGAGAAGGGCGTCGCGCTAGAAGGGGATATTGATTTTATGACACTCTATGGGCACGGGGGAACGGAGGTGGACGAGAGGAAAGGATATGTTGACTATCCTGTGGCGGCACTTTAGATGTCTTTACTTTTAGATGACTGCACTATTGTGCTCTGTCCTTACCATGATTTTAGTGAACTTGAGGAGAAAATGGGTGTTCTAGGTCGCAAATGTAGACGAAAGAGTCATCATGTTGATTCCAATGAAAGGCTCTGATGCCCTGCCTTCGACGTTTCCCCTTTCGAGCTACACGACAACCGTAAAACGGCACAATGACGAATGGGGTAGCTAGTGCAAATTGGCGAGACTCAAACATACGCTATAGCACCACTCTGTAGCTTAGCTTGGACTTCAAATGTCCAGTCTCCTATCTAGCCTTCTCAATATCCGGAGTAGAGGAGTAGCATATCTCATCTAGCATCTGCACGGCCGATCAATTATCACCTGTAAATGAATAACAACAAGACGTACCAAATGGCCTACATCCCGGATTTTTGTTACAGACGCAAGCCTACTGCCATCGTCCAGTAAGGAGTCTTTCCTTGTTCCTGTGAACTGAAAGGAAGGTTGAAAGAAGAAAGGAAGGTAGAATCAGACGTACGACATGTCGTTCTAGATCAGACACAATCTTGAGCATTTGTTGTGGTCATGTTAAGGAGGGCGGACGCAGGACTGAGAAAACTGGAAAATTGGATTGATTGGCCATCTCCGCTGATACAGCTCAGGTAAATGAAAGCAAACTACTCCTACCGACCTCAATGGCTCGTTGTGTAAAGCCATCTTCCTTGACAAGGGCAAAGGACTCATGCTATAGGCGAAAATGGCACAACCTCTTGGAAAGAAAGAGAGCTACCATGTAAGGTATTGCAAGGAGAACGCTTTTCAAGGTCAATGACGAGTTTGAGCTGAAGGGGAGGGTCGGGGATAAAGAAATAGCGAGATATGGAGTATTCGTGGTGGAAGTTCAAGTTGTTCGTCGGAAATGCCGGCGAATCCGGGCCGCCAACCGATATTTCCAATCTAGTAACAGACCACGTTACATGACGCGAAGAGTGAAAATCCATTTCCGGTTTGCCATGTTCTCTTTTGTCCTCCAGCATCACGGTGAAGATGCCTCAATGCGCCTCAGAACTTTGGTTCTTCAGCACGACAACTTGCATACAGACCAAAGGCAACCAATAGCTGTAACCGTCCAAAGGACAGGAAAACCAAGAAAGCGGTTGACGGGGTTCATGAAAAGTACGTCTAGATCGTCACCGATCCTTTCTCTCGTAGATAACATTGCTCCAGGGAAAAGTACGTACGGGATTTTTTAGTTCTAGAGCGCTTCTGAGTACATGACAGGTACCTTGCTCGTTGGGATACAGAAATGAAGGCGCAGCGAAAGTGGAATATGACCATGAAGGGCTCGTGCATGCCTTCTGTGTTTCAACTTCCCCTCATGCAAATGCTTTTGCTACGCTTGCAAACGAGGGCATTGGGGAACCTGGAGAATTTGTATGCACCATTATTCCTATGAGTCTTTCTTGTCTTTGGCCGAGCTCATATCAGGCTGTATAGATTTACGATGGAATACCAAAAGAATAACCGCATCTGAACTACGACAAACCTGAACCCCCGATTAGGGTGTTGGCTCCCGAATTTCTCCTACTACAGACCTTTGCCGGGCTGACGGTCGACGACGAAACAAGCCAAGACTGATAGATATCCACTTATCAGTTACTTGACGTCTGCCACGGACCGCCGAATCTCACTAACATGACGTCCCGCGACGACGTCAGCGTCCGTGCTCTCGGGCTGTCAGGGGCAGGAATGCAGGAATGCATTAGGGTAAACTCATTGTGAGGTCTGAATAGGCCGATCTATAGGGCACACTCTATGTCCGTTGTCCCAAGCTTCAGCCCTTGGCACAGATTCGCTAATCTAGTCAGAGACATTTCCTTGGCGCTATCTTTCAACTTTCATGTTCTCAGCTGTAACGTCCTTTCCTTCGCCCGAGGCCTGCTTCTCAACAGGTGCAGTCAAATGAACCATGAATCCTACATCGACCCATGCTCGAGGACTTGGCAAAAATCGGACTCTATACCATCACCATTGTACGGAGAAAGATGGACAGCCGTTCGCGCTGCGCCCCGCCCACTCGCACATTCCACCGAATATTTTGCGGCGATGACGAAGATAACACTGACAGTAACACGCTGTTATGTTCGTGAACGACTTAAAATTTGAATATATCTGTCATTCTATTGGCTGCAAACGCGTCAAACATACCTTGGTCTCCCACGGCGTCCTTTCAATCGCGTCTGATGGAGAATTCTCGCGTTCACTCTTACCCTCCGTTGAGGGCTTCACAACCGAAGCTACGGACGCGTGCTGTTCAATCTTCTTACGAAAATTTTGACCGTCGGTCTATAAAATGCGTCCAGGCTAGCTGCAACTGTCCATTGCATTTCCCCCCCTCCATCTGCGAACATGAAAATCGCACCTGCCGCTGTTCTCTTGGCTTCTGCTCTCCTCGCCACTGCTCATCCTGGTCCTCACGCGCTTATCAAGCGCTCAGAAGCAGAGTTAACACGTCGCGACCTTACCTCGTCCAAGTGCGCTCGCCATGTCGGCGAAATGCAGCATAACCGCATAGCAAAGCGCGCAGAGGCCTTGACCAAGCGTAGCAGCCGGTTCTCCTCGGTTACTATCACCACCGAGTCACCTTTCTACCCTAGGATTCAAAACGAGACATGCGTTCTCACTCCTGAGACTACCACTGGTCCGTATATCTGGTCCAAGTCCCAGACTCTGCGCCAGGATATGACCGAGGACCAACCGGGAATTCCGCTGATCCTAGTAGGCACTGCTTCCTTTCGGGAGCGACGTTTCACTCATTCTGCATTGCTGTAGGACATTGGTGTCATTGACGTCAACACCTGTGAACCTATGCGTAATGTGCTCGTTGACCTTTGGCACTGTAACGCAACGGGGTCGTATTCTTCCTTCACCGGACGTGATCCGAATACTCCCTTTGAGCAGCTCCTCGAAGAGCTGGGTATTGACCTCAGCGCCGGTGGGACCCTCGATCTTCATACGGATGACACGACATTCCTCCGTGGCATGTGGCCCACCGACGCCAATGGGATGATGCAAATGAAGACCATTGTGCCGGGATACTACGTAGAGCGCGCAATACACATTCACGTCCAGGTATATATCATTCTTTCAGCGCATGAGCCTGGCTCACGGGGCGTGTTTAGGTCCACCAGAATTGGGTACTGCAATCGAATGGAACAGTCAAAACCGGCAGCACCGCAGAAACGGGCCAAATCTTCCTCGCTGAAGATCTCTCCAAGTATCTGATGTCGTATCAGCCGTACTTTGGACATACAGAGATCGAGAGGACCACCAATGATGTGGATTCTATTTATTTGGAAGCGTCAACCAACGGATGGTACCCCGAGTTGGCAGTAATTCCCATTGACGGGGAGGAATACTCGAATGGTATCATCGGGTACATTACCATTGGAGTTGACTCGAGCCGTACCACTGCTTCTTCGTTCAATTAGTTCATCCGTGTTACAATATTTCGCGCTATAAAATCTGTCCAGCATAAGTCAAGCAGATGAATAAATTACTTTGTTCTACTTACTGAGCTCATGGTGTATGATATCAACCAGGAGCACCTGTATACTGATGGCCGTTTGTCTGACCCCCTAACCATTCAAGTTGCAGGCAAGAAAGGGCAATTTGACTTGCGACCTCAAGTGGTGAAAGACGGTACGTCGCGAGTCTAGATCGCTTTCCGGTCCGATCACCCGGTTTTCGCGTCATTGATCAACAAACTTTTCCTCCCTTCCCGTCACATTGGCAGACCATTGAAGCATACTCTTTTTAACCTCTCGTTTTCAATAACTAATTGAAGTTAAGCTATAGATGTCAGGCATCTGCCTTGTTTCGCGGCCCCTACTGTTACCCAGGCGGCATTTCAGCTCCTGCACTGTCGCGCGTTCACGCGATTTCCCCGTGTTGTGGAGTCCTACCTCCGCAGCCCCCGACAATACTCTCGCTCTACATGTCGGTCCGCTTGATTTTGGAATGTCCGTCATAGAGAATCTGCCTCGTTTTCGCCATCTCCAACACATTCAATTCGAAAAATATACAATGGCACAGTTTGATGACCGACGGATAACAGATGCGTTATCTCGATGTCCAATTAAAACTGCATCATTTACTTCATCGACATTTCGTAACCGACGCCATCTTTATTCATTTCTATGCCATTTCCCGATGCTGGAGGAGCTGTCCTGCGCTGATCTGCATTTCAAGGCGAAGACTCGGCCACGTGAAGCACGCGAAGCAGTTCAACGGATTGGACCATCGCTTCGGAAGGTCACAATTGATAATGGTGATGACCTGTGGCATGCAGCATTAGACGGGTCAAGTTTTGGTCCTATCGATAAGCTGCAAAAAGTTACTATCATGGACGTCAAACTTGACGACCTTGCCAAGGTTGATCAATTCCTTCGGAGAACAAAAAACAGCCTGGAAGAGTTTTCTATGAGGCATTTGCATATCTTGGGTCGTACGTCGCATCCATGTCTACTTGCTGTACCCTGTCTGAATGTGCCCAGATGCGCGCGGCACGCATATGCGTTGGAAAGCCTTGCGTGAACCTTTCGTGCTCTCACATCTAAGGAGGCTCTGTGTCGACATTCACGGCAAGGAAAAAAACACAGGACTTCCAGCAACCGAGATCGTGTTGAAATGGTGGCTGTCCATGCTGCAGGATGCGGCTAAAAAGGATGAAGCTCTCCGTCTCGAGAACCTCACGATCACTGTGGGGGTTGCCCGTTCGGTAAACTATATCCAGCGCGCCGGAGGATCCTTATGGCAGGAACTTGATCGTTGCCTCACACAAAATCAATTTTCTTCGTTCAAATCCCTCCGCGTCGTTATCAAAGTGTTTTCGCCATTACTGCCGCAAAGAGGTGAATCCCGGAGGCAGATGATATTGGATAATTGTCCTCGATTACAGGAGAAGGGGATGATTGATGTCGTGGTTCAATCTGTGGAGTTACCACAAGAGTCCGTCGAATAGGGAGGGTTTTTTGTACTATGACATGAATTTTTATCCGTCTTAAAACTAGCATTCTGGACATAGCTCTGGAGGGTGTCACAATACACTTGTTGACCGTCCTAGGAATTGGGTGTACCCCTCAAAACAATGGTGCGTTGCGTATGTGATTGATTTCTGGTTTTCTTATAATTTATCGTCGGGTATGGCTTAGTGAGAAGGATATTCATGGCTCCTGCCGGCTATCTGTTTGCCGAGAGCTCAGTAACTCCAAAAGAAGCGCCATTGATGTGCGGTCAACTCTTCTTTTAACTTTTTTCGTCTCTCTATGCTGGATGGCTGAAGCATAGACGTCTCGTTACCAGAATGACAAGTCGGCTCAAGGTCCGCAATTTATCTTCTCTTCTCTCGGCAGCTCATCTAAAAGTACGAGCCAGAAAGAAGCTACCAACGGTTCCCTTTCAGCTCTCACTACGCTGTGCGAAAATGCTACCAAAGATTCGACCACATTTCCCATCATAATAAATGCCATCCGCCAGCACCTTCTTGCCACGCCCGTTCCCAGGCTGACTCTGAATTCATCTCTCACAAAACGTGATGATTCTAGTCTGCATACTATCCGTTCATGCTTCCTCTGCCTAAAAACCGCGCTATCTGACGATGCACTCAAAAGTGCATGTAACATCGCGCTTGTTTCCAGATTATGGCCAGATATGTGTCGCTGGATTACGTCCTTCCTTGATACTCACGTCGTGGACGTTTCGACTTCTTCCCTGGAAACGCTTCTTCAAAATCAAAATTTTTTCGACATGATCGATGCTATATTGTCTTTATTGTTATCGCTCTCGAACGCGTCCCAGGTGCTAACTTGTATCCTCGAGACTGAGGACTTCATACGTTCCTTTACCCATTCCACCGTATGCCTCATGGCGGTGACCCAATACTCCCTGCAACCAATCACGACGGCACTCCTGGTGCGCTTTTGGAAACCAACCGGTGGCAAGACCCTTCCAGCCATGGCCGTTGTTCTACACGAGATGCCCCCACAAAGAATCATCGCCTCGCTTCAAGGAGTCGTGCATAAAATACAGGAACTGTCCTTCACGCCACCATCATTACGCAACTTTGCCCATACCATCCATTTCCTCTGGTTTGTCACCGCAAAGTCAGAGAAATTCAGTCTGCGGTATCTCGCTCAACGCTCGATTCCATGGATCTGTCATCTCTTATCTCGTATCATCGCGAAAGTACGCCAATTACCTCCCCCGGAGATCCATCAAGATCTCGAAGCGATATTCTTTACCTCTATCATATACCTTGTCGAGATAGGCTTCACCCAAGGCACTAAATGGCTTTTGCAAGGCTTACAACATCACATATTAGAACTCGCCCTCAAATCGATCCCCTTTGCATCCGAGTCCGGTCCTCTGGCAAATCCCAGCCGCTCTCCATCACTCCTTGCCCTTCTCAACCGACTCTGTGAAACGACTTACACTTTCCTAATGCAGCGCTGCGTCATTTCGGAAGCTGGAAGGGCGATGGGAAGGATAACAAAAGCGGGCTTGGAAGCAAACGTTTCACTCGCGGATGATTCTTTTCGTCGGACCTGGACCTTGCTAACAGATCAAATTGCTCTACGATCCAAGTATCGGTCAGATTTTATCGCAGCTGGATGCGACAACGATTCTTGTTCTAATCCCATGGTATGAGTCTGGCGTACCTCGTTTGCGCATTTCATTACTTATCCCAGTAATTGTCAGTGCCCACAGCGTCTTACCAACAGGACGAAACCGCTTCAAATGTGTTCGGGTTGCGAGAATTATTTCTACTGTTCCAGGGACTGCCAAAAATCAATGTGGCCGAGCCACAAACCTATCTGTAAAATTTTACAAGAGGAAACGAAAAGTTAGTAACTTTTCTTTGGTATCCTATGCGTATCCAACTATCCTCTCTTAGAAGGGTTTCTTTTGCACTTCACCGAGCGAGATATGCACTTTATGGGGGAGATGGCTTCCCATGATATACATAACAAGACCACACAGCTCAGAGAAGACAAGAAAAGGTTCCTTCGTGCACACCCTGGAGCTGCAGCTTACCCTCTTGTCCTTGCGGTGGACTACTCCTCTGTGCCTATGACGGTTACGATTCGCTCGTCGCTGGATTTCAAAGATCATCCAGAACACGGACAGAGGTGGCCGGACTTGATACGTAGGGTAAAACAAGACCCTAGAAATGAAATGGTGTACATCGAAACACCCCTTAAGACGGACCCCAAGAATTGGCTGTACACCACGACATTCCAACTGCCTATTCTAGGCATTTAGCTTGAATATCATGACGTGGTGTATTTGATATCGACGCAAAGATTTACCGTTCTGTTTGTATCACAATCGCGTGTATGTACCCCGCGTATTTGACCCAGAATCGCTAGCCAGGATAATTAGCAGCACACTGAATTAAATTGAAACGTGAGTTACTTGAAAACAACAAATAACAGTAGTCTTACCTCAACGGAAAGAATTCTCCTCTTCGCCACCATTGGGAAAATGCTCCTCACATCATCTCCAGCGCAGCTGGGATGCTCCATCAGATGTTTCCATCGTGCCTTCGCATTATCGTAGGCATCCAATCCTAAATGCACCCTTCTCAACGACCCAATCTGTCCCAGCGTTGCATCCAAAGCAGCCCAATCATTACCATACGACGTAAAGGTGCTCGTGTAGAATATCTCGAGCGTCACCTTCTCCAATCGATGCCACTTAGTGAGCTCCTTGAACAAGCTCGTCAACCACCGTAGCCATACCACAGGCTTCGTGTGTTGTTGGTAGCAGATCCACCACAGCTTGACATGTATCGAACGAAGACGAGATATATCAATTAGGTTCGATAATGGCTCTACAAACCCATGATTAGGCCTCAATCTATGAAACTGGCTATGCACTCACCTCCGAGACAGGCATTCAAAACAAGATGCTCTAAAGCGCTACCATTTAGCTGCCGTAGGATATCCCTCGTGACCTTCGTGCGCTTTACAAGGTCTCCAGAACCGTCTGTGAGTACCGATAACTGCTGGAGACTGCTGATATTGATCGAAGATTGTAATAGCTGTACCAGTGAAGAATGCGGCTCACACAAGCTGAGCGCTAAGGAGTGCAGCTTTAACTTTAGCCCGTTCGGAAGTCGGGTCAACCCTTCCAAATTCCCACAAGATACCAAGTCTTCGCAGGATATCGCGGAAAGCGATAGATGCTTCAGATACTGACATGTATCCAGAAGCGCCAGGAAGTCTGCATAATGAAGAAACAGTCCATCCCGAATCTCGAACCGCGTCAGACGCAGAGATCGGAAGGCTGTGATCAGGGTATCACGCATGGACAGGGAGAGCTCGTCCCAGGAATAACCACAGAGATGAAGGGATATACTCTCAAGGTTGATGAGTTTCTGAAACATAGTCCCGAGGAGGTGAGCGTCGAGAAGGGGAGAGATTTCAATGCTTTTCACAAGCGTCGCAAGGCAAGGGTGTATGGATATGAAGGAATTAAACCGTTCTATATCGCGTCGCCTGCGGCCATGTAAAGAGCAGTAGTGATAGGGTCCGCGATTGAAGCTGATGTGAGAGAATATCCGCCGCTGAGAGGGATACGTCCAGGAACGGCTGACGAGGGAGCAGGTTCGTAAGGTTTCTTTATCGGTATGATTCTCGTCTATAACGGCATCAATGAGCTCTTGTGGGAGAACAGTAACTTTGGCGTCCATGGCCACAGGTACAAGGCGAGAGTTAATCAGGTGTTTTGGATGAAGCAACCAACCGACCTATGACTGGTCTGATGTCTGGATTTCTTGTGGTTCTCGGAAGTTACTTGGGACACGATCTATACCGTGAGAGATGGGGGGATGATCTGAACATCGCAAGCCCTTGCTATCGTCATCCTTTTGTAGCTCGCAGGCAAAGGCCTTTTTTTGGCGCTGATCGAGTTACCTCGTCCATGATAACCAAAAGATTCGTTGACCCAGGTGCTTCGAAGCTTATCGTCTCGATTGCTCGATTTCGACCTGCGCGGCAAATGATCGTAGTTCAATGCTTCGAGTGTGCTTGCTATGTATCGGATTTTTGAAGGGAAAGCTAATGTGTGAAGAGTGTAGTCAGTGCTCATGTGAAACGGACTCCGTTCCGTTTCCTTCTCACGGATGTCAATCGCAAAAACTCCTCCCCTTCCACCATCACCATCTCCCTTTGTTGAAGTTGTATCGGCGCCTACGTAACTATTAGTATGCAGCAACCCGGATCTTTTGATACATGTGAAAAGGTGTTTCCTGGCATGAAGTCCGTTGAACTATTCCTGTTGTGCTCGAGCAATGCTCTACACCATCATTCTGAACGAGGCACGCTAGCACATGCAACGTCGGAGGGTGCGGCGTAGTTGGAGACACCTAAGTAGCAGGGTGTGGTAAAGATTGCTGATTCCGCCGCGTTTCAGTGATGACACAGCATGTCGTGCCCACACAGTAGCCCAAGAGATGGCGCAACAAAGAAGTCAAGAAGCGTCCAGTGATGAGATGGCAGGCGGCATGTACGAATTAATCGAGTCCACTCTGTGAATGCGGGCTAATTTAAGAGCTGTGCAGATCCGCTTCAGAGTGCGGACAAGTCGGGACGACGGCGTTTGCAGGTGCTGACTTGAACTAGGAGGTGCTTCAGATTTCTCATCCCTGGTGGGAAATGCATTTTGGAAAGAAGAGCTGGAGATGGAAGGCGAACAAACGCGTGTATGCTATAGAACTCCTAGTGAGTGCTGCAAAGCGGATATTGTCGAAACATACTAATGTAAATCCAAACGAGAACCTTCCGAGACGAGAAAGGGCGTGCACTAAAACGGCTAGGCGAATACCCGTGACAACATTATCGCGAAAGAAGTTCATGAGGGAAACACGACTGCATAATCTTCCAGGATGAATGACAAGGCAATCAAGCATCGCCAAGGATCATAATAATGTCGTGTCGCATCTGCTTGCTGTCCTGTCGCTTACAATGACGTTGATGAGCAGTGACACATTTGCGAAGACGCCGTGAGGTTGTTAGACATTTCTTCTAGGGACGTTTATGCACCGAAATCGCATCAAACGGACTGTGGAACATTACTAGTGTGATAAGATCCGATTATATTAGTTAGGAAAACTAGCGGCAATCTAGAATTGAATAAATGAGCAAGCTCCTCGTGACAAGAATATAAGCAACAACGGCCCCACCTCTACAGAAAGAACTCCGTGTTTGGCTAGTGTCGGCAGAATTACCTTCACACCGTCTCCGACAGTGCTTGAATACTCCTTCGAACGTTTCCATCGTGCTCGTGCGCAATCATAATTGTCCACCTTCACGTTGACCTTTCTCAACGACCGTATTCCCCCCAGTGCTGCATCGAGAGCAGCCCATTCATCAGTATACACGGTAATATTGCTCGCATAGAAGATCTCGAATGTGACCTCCTCCAACACCCCGTATTTAGCAAGCTCCCTGAACGACATAGTCAACCAACGTAACCAATTTTCGGGCCTTGGATGCTGGTCTGGGCGAATCCACCACAGTTTCATGTGTATCGAACAAAGTTGCGAAATATCAATCAAGTTGGATAATGGCTCTACAGGTGTCATCAGACAGAATTACAACTTAATACAGGACTCAGGCTTACCTCCAAGACAAACATTCAACACGAGGTGTTTCAAAGGTCCACCATTCAACTGCTTGAGTATTTCTTTCACGATATGCGCGCGCTTCTTAAGATCTGCAGATCCAGCGGTGAGCGCTGATAGCCGTCGGAGACGACTAACATTGATCGAAGATAACAACTGCGCCAGCGGAAAATAGGAATGTTCATACAAGCTGAGTGCTAGCGAATCCAGCTGCAGTTTCAGTCTGCTTGAAAACGCAGCCGTGGGTGCTATTTCCAGGTCATCCCATGACACATTGGAGAGGGATAAATGCTTAAGATGACTACCGCAAGCGCCCAAAAGGGCTAAGAAGTCTACACAGTGAGGAAACGATCCTTCTCTCAGCTCGAGAGAGGCTATTCGTGGAGAGCGAAGGGTGGCGAGGATGGTGCCCTGCATATATGGCGAAATCTCGTCCCAGTGATATCCACAGAGATCAAGTGACACGTTCTCGAGCTTGATCAGTTTTTCAAGGATGAGCGCGAGGAGCTGCGCGTCGAGATGTGGCGAGACCTCAATAGCTCTCACGAGCGTAGCAACATGAGGATAGGCACATATAAGCGTGTGGAATTGCTCCATGTCGCGCTGGCTATGTCCTTGCGCGTAGTAGTAGCGTCGTTTGTTATGACTGAATCGTATCTGAGAATATATGTGGCGTTGCGAGGTATATGTCCAAGAACGGCTAACGAGGGAACACGCGCGTAAGGCGGCCTTATCGTTTTGGTTCTCGTCGATAATGATGTCGACGAGCTCTTGTGGAAGTGTACAAATCCCGGAGCAGCGCTTTTCCATCTTTGAAGGCTGGGAGAAAGTTATCGAGTAAGATGATGGAAATCTGCGGTAAAAGAAAGGACGGACATAGCAACTAGTCTGGCGTTCTTCTTTTTCGGTGGCCGTCCGACTCAAAGACAGCCCACTGCACGATTCTGCACAACGGAACGCGATAAGAGAGGGAGGCGTGGGCGATGGAAAGAAGGATTCGAACTTTTTGCTATCACCCTCCTTTTGTAGTTTCTGTTCTGGTTTCTCTCTTCTGGCCGAGGTTCGGTCTAGGCCGCTACATCCCTAGCAAGGCGTGCCAAGTCTCGATGCATGCTGAGTGTTCTCTTCGTACGCCCCATCATGCTGTTCATTATAAGAGGAACAGCAGAGTCGAGGACTAAATCAACGGTCGCCCAAGACGGCAGAGCTTTTGCTTGTCTGTCTATAGTTAACTGTCAGTGAAACAGGTGGAGAAAAAGACAAAGTGTGACGTTACTTACAGGCCAATTATTACTTGGTCGTTTTTCCGGACTTGACGCAGACTCGACCTAGTCTTGGCGCAGCTGATGCCCTTCGAACCGATCCAAATATCTGCTCCATCTGGCTTCTTGAATTCTTCGCTTACAGTTCTGGATCATATGTTGAAAGAGGAAAACTTCCAAAGTTCCTGAGCAGCTGCGAGATAGGCTTCGAGGTCTTTTAACACAAGGCTAGATCCGGATAAAAATCGGCTTACAGTGAGCAACGAGGCAGGATGGACAGTTCTCCGTCTGTAAGTACCGGACGTGTAATGAATTTAGTAAATGCCTGTGATATCGACGGTTATCAGAGAGGTGAACAGACAAAGTCGTTGCGTGACACTGTCGTACCTCACACCGCGTCCAAATGCCTCCCAACTCCCCGATATCCCCTGAGTTTGCGCGTTCGAATATTTGTCACTGTACCACATTGAAGCTACGAGTCCTACTTCTGCCCCTCTGAAATTGTCTAATACCGGCTGATGATCCTGGTTCTGGCTTTTTTGGATGAGATGAGTAAGCCAATAACTGCGGTTACTTGTTGCGTCCCATGATAATGATTCGAACGAGAAATAATATAGAGAACGTAATGCCTAGACGAGAGAAGGAATGAGTGAGTGAGGATTGGGCAAGACGATTCTTGGTTAGTCGTTGCAAACTTTGTACTAGTTTCTGTCATCTATTTCTTGAAGTCGCATAGCAGAGAACGAATCCACAATTTTCCGTTCAAACGCTCAAGCACTCAAGCAAGTACTCAACGCCGAGTTGTGACAAACAAGAAATAGATGCATATAGTCTGGGCGAGGTGGTGGCTGGTGGTCGTCGTTTATATTGAGAAATCGGCTGACGGGCCGCATACCGGTGGCGTCGGCATATGCCGGTTTTCGCGAAGGTTTGAATCAGTTCGAGTAACCAATAATTGGATAACGCTTGCAGGGCCCACTACAGGGGCAGAGCCTGCTACGTTTATCACGTCCGCAAAAAAAAAAAAATAGACTACAGCCTATCACTATTAGTCTGGCCGCGGTCCGGTTCAGGACCGCGTGGACCCGGTCCGAACCCGAACCGAACCTGCAGGTCCAGGTCCGGTTCAGGTTCAGGTCCGGCACAGCCACCTGGGTCCAGGTTCGAGGTTCGACCTGTTTGAAAATTCTGAACCCGGTTCGGACCCGGTCCGAACCTCGTGAACCTCGAAAAATTCAGGTAAAGTTCAGGTCAAGCTTTCAGAAGTTATATCATGCTAAATTGCTGATTGCTATCTAATACATAGAACTGAGATTTATTTTTCCATTCCAGGATCTTCTGTGCCTTCAGAATGCATGTTTTCATATGCAGGTCACACAGACTCTGACCCTCGCTGTTGCAATTTTGATGCAGAGAAGTTTGGCACCATGAAGGAAGCTTATTGGGATGGACATATCAGTGCACAGAACAAAGCACAGATGGAAATTGGGCCCTGCTTTGATGATGGAAACTTGGTCATAGAGTAATCATGTACCACATGTATGAATATCACAGTCTACAGCGCGTAATAAATTTTTTTTGCTGAACCCGGACTGAACCTGGACCGAACCTTTTGGACCTGCACCTCAGGTTTGGGTTCGAGGTTCGGGGGGGCGGCAGGTGAACCTCGAGGTCCAGGTTCAAGGTTCAGGCAAATATGCCTGAACCTGGACCGAACCGGACCCCGGCCAGACTAATCACTATGTAAAAATTAAAATAAAGCGTCCAAAATACGCATCATGGCATCGTGATTGGCCACTTCCTTCCTCCTCAGAGTAGTTATCAAGGCTTTGTCCCTGTTCACATATGTCTGTAACCCTTCCAATATAACTTGGTTTCTCTTCAACGCCCGATCCAACGCCACCTTCGTCTTCGCGAGTTCCACCTTATACCCATCCAGATCCATATCCTTGAAGCCCTTGATGACTTTCTGAACCTCTTCTGGATCGGGTTCGACATCGAACTCCAACTTCTCCGATGTCAAGGGTTCGTGCTTCTGAGACTCGTCCAATAGTTTCTGCAAACTGCTATCAGGCGTGGTGGGTGGAGGATCTTGGCTTGGCACGGAGGTCTCAGGCACCCTGGTTGATCCAGCACCCGGAAGACTTGGGTTGAACGGATTTCCCGGTTTTACAACGTCTGGCCAGGACACGGGGAAAGCGGACTTCGGTTTTGACAGAAAATTGAGGTTGCTCTTAGGAATCGCCACGTAAGGTTTCCTCAGGTTTAGAAGAGGTCGGGGACGTACAATCTTGCTCGACGTCAAGGGATGTGTCGATGACCAGAGGACTGGATCATCGTCGTCGTCGTCGTCGTCGCCGCCATTGTCAACACCATCATCCGAATCAACTTTTCGTCGCCTAGTGGGGGGTGCAGGAGATTCCGAGACCCGCCTGCGTTTGCGAGACTTCTTCACCCCATCCGGGGCCTCTCCCACGCATCGTTTTGCCTGTAGATGACACTCTCAGCACTTGGAGTGGTCGTCGTTGTTCGGCCACTGGCACGCGATCTTCGATCCACATGTTTTACACTAGGGAAAGCCCGATTAACGAGACATTCTGCACATCAAGTAGTCACTCACCGGTTCACCTGCTTCCACGGGAATCAAATCCCAATCCGAGATATCGATCTTAGAAACTCTCGTCTTGTTCAAAGTTCGAGAGTGACCCCGATGTACGTTCAAGAAGACGAGCTGACACCAGAGCTCGGTCCCAATCTCAGCGGCGGCCTTGGACTGATATACCTCCCCCATATCAACAATGAGGTCTCGGGTCCCCGTCAGCCAATCCACAGTCGGCTCCTCGGGCGCCGGTAAGCAGGCTTTCAGCTGTCGGGACCCCGTCAGAACTTTTCCAATTTTTCCTATCAGATCGAAATGGCGCACCTTCTTCCACAGGTCCTCATCCGTGCCTCATCTCTTTCGAGGTTTCTGCACTGCTGCAGACTGTGTCCCCTTCTACATTCTGCATCAAAACAGCAGCAGACCAAATGCACGAGACTCACCGACGGTCCAGGAAGCGACGACTTTGCCCTCTCGGCCTCTTTTTTTCCAGCTGCTCGAGATTTTGGCTTCTGAATAGTGTCAGGCCACCAACCTGAAGGAATGTATACCAGACTCACCGAGACCTCGGTCGGAGACGGCGAATCTCGTCCTTTCTTCTCTTCCAGCAAATTACGTCGGTTCGAAAGAGGAACGTCAGTCGGAACGTTGGCAGTCTCCGTCTTCAACTTCGATGAATCCGAAGGCAATTCCCAAAGGGCCGTCCCCTGAACCACGGTAGCGTCTCCAACAAATCTCAAGGCATCGTGCACGTTGTTCTGAAATGTACGAGCATAAACCAGTGAGTTCCGAGCCACAGTCTACTCACCAGATGTTCATTCACCCTGCTCCACTGTGCTCCCGATCTATCCGACTCCAACGTCTGCCTACTGTCCACATAGGTCGTCAGGGCATCGTTGATCGCCTTGATTTGTTCGTGCGTCGTATCAGGCAGAACAGCTGCCCTCAACATAAGAGCCTCTGGACCAACCATAACGAAGCGTTTCACGCTTTTGGCGGAGGTGGAGATAGCAGTCATGGTGGTCAGAGGTCAAGTCGCGGTGATCGAAAACTTTTTCAGCCGACTTCCGTATATAGCATGTACCCCTAAATGTCATGATATCGGTAACGCACGCTCTGCCACTAACTACTCGGTCTCTCCCTCGATCAACCTGGCCGTGGCTGCTATTCTAAATCCAATCGGAGTAACCGAATGTCTGTTTCACATAGGTCAGAACTAATAAAGCCACGGAACTCTGCATGCACTGAAAGCAATTCTGGAAATCTTCTCCCTCCATGAGCAGGATGTCACCCTTCATCGACGATTTCAGTGTCCCTTTCATTTTATATTACAACTTGATGTCTTACATGTTTAAGGTTCACTGTCAAGAATACCCTTGTACCTGATAAAGACGAATCCTTGGTTCGGAACATCATCGCGGCATCCGACCCCAAAGACAGGCCCACCACGAATGGATATACCCCTCGTTCATCATCGCTGTGAAACTGCACCAAGTCGAACAACCCTCACGAAAAAGAGCAGACACTCCTCACTGCCATCTTTTGGTCTGGAAGATACGCGATGCTAGTATCTAGTGTAAGTCTTGAACAAGGACAATGAACGGTATCCACGTACCTTAACAGCTCGTTAAAATCAGGGACATTATCGAACACGGAGTTTAGGGATTCCTTTATATGAGTCAGCGCATCATGCATCACAGTCGGGGCATGTTCCCAATCAGTGGTCAATCCGTCGCCTCCTATGTACTGAATGATAGTGTAGCCAATGCCTGGAGTCGCAGTGTATTATGTACATACATGGTAAGCTATGCCCGCTACAACGACTGTCAGGCGGATCTTGTGACGTAGAGAGATCGACTTACCGTTGTAAGAAAAGTAGTTCGTAAACATCGTCCCCTGACCTGGAAAGACCGAATGAAACAACGTCAATTTGAATAACACAAACACAGACATCGATGCTAACAACGTGTAAGTCCTAGCTTGGGTCAGATCAAATCAATCTTACAGATCTCAAGGGTGTTCGTTTGAAATTGAACAACTGATTTGCTTCTGCGGACAAATATTCGTTCAGGAGTCGATTTGCTTCCGCTAGGGCGCCGGGACTCGGACGAAGCCAAAAAATCTGTGCGCTAGACGATCATTAGTTATCTGGCAAGTCAATCTCACAAACAGTTACTCGTATCCTTTAAATCCGAAAACTGTGAGCTGCTTCAGTCTATGCTCCCGTGAAAAGTTGCATTTATAGATCGTCGTTCCTGAACTCGTTTATACGGGTACCACTTGAGCAAGAGGACACGCACTGGTGCTATCCCTCAACTCGTAATCCGGCCACGGGTCTGCATGCTGAAGTATATCCATATGCTGCTCAATAACTTTATGGTGGCCACACGAGTCGCACACCAGAGTCGACCACAAAAAACTGGCCTCCCACGATCAACTCCCAAACGGAATACCAGTATCTGTTAGCGTACCGACAAGTCATCTTCCCACAAGAAGGGCAGTGAAACCCGGCCGGCTTTGTTGATGATTGCATGAAAACGGTGTTTATGGAGGGCGGGTGTTGATTAGACCAACAACTCATAAGGAATCCATTGTCGTACACTAAAGGAACACGCGGTGCAATCATCCAGAAAAAAGGGCAATCTGTGTTTAAGCAAAAAGGCCCATTGGTGTATAGAATAGGGTTCTCGGAGACACACGCTGCACACGTATAAGTTGCAGGTTCCGAAAACCTCGAAGGGCCTTCTGTCTCTGGCAACCACCACGTTGAAGTCTCCTGATCCCACAATCAATTTTACTCTACCAGAAACCAAAAGCAGACCTATGTTGAGTCTCAGGAGGACTTTTATTCTAATGTCGTCCCCATCCTTCTCGTCTGATTCCAAAGTCAGACATGATAACATCACACATTCAGACAGTCAACATGACCCATGCCACAAAAAGCGTACTGTGTACGAAGCGAGGAGACAGAAAGTTATTCGATCGGCAGCGAGGTCGTAAGGAAAGAAAGGATAGTCATCCTTGATGAAGACCGATACTCGTGACCGATTAGTTCTCGTTGTCTGTAATGGAACTTGGTACTTTCTCTTAGATGACACGAAGTTCCTGTGTTCATGGTGTCAGCGCATGCTGCACTTCAAAGACACGAACTTACCCGTGTGTTATAATAACCCTGCCTCTAAAAAAGAAACCGTCATGGCTACGCAGCTATTTCAATCAATCATACACCCTGTTCCAAGTTACTGGACTCACGGTGCAGTGTTTGCCGTCAGAAGCAAACCCTTGACAACGTTGTGTTGAGTGAAAATCCCTGAATGGTACGCCTTGAAATCGTCCCGAGTCTCACACAATTCCTGGCGAGAATGGCACCAAGCAGCGGGTAGACGTGGCAAGCGAGCAGCGTTGTTAGAGTTCATCGGTGTCTGGTACCGCGGTTGGAAGGCACGTAAGAAAAGATGATCGGGAGGGCACGTGATGTACTATTTCCAATGGCGCCACATTGGATCTAAGCTTTTCACCTCTTACTTTAATCTCCTGTCATGAGTGAAACCGTACGGGCGCAAGAAATACCCTTTGGATGGATAGTAGGACCAGAGGAGCTTCAAATACACCTCTTTCGACCCTACATCACCGAAAGCCGAGCAAAGTTCTTAGACCGAAAAGCTCGGCAACTTGTAATTGGATTGAAAGAGCACCCAGAGGATGCATCCGGCCTTCAGGTAATATTCACGCGTAGGAAATCATCTCCCTCTGACTATGCTTACATGTAGGAAGATTTTCGAGAAATGATGGACATGCTCAACGGCAATTACATGATTTTATGCGGCCAAGAACACCTCGGCAGCGAATACCACGTAACTCGAATCCTGGATACCGTAGGTTCTCCGCTGACATTACTGTCTATGTGCTGAACCAGTTCTTACTGCAGTTCACACAGGTGGCTGCCACCAGTCACGCCGGAGTTCCGCCTCAATTTTCGGCGTTCTGGCAATCCTACCTATGCCCACTTGTTGAAGTTGCCACCCCAGAAGATCTCGCTTCTATGCGCGCACAGTGCTCACCTGCTTTCTGGGCTGCGATGGTTGCAGAAGCAAGTGGGGTTTCGTCGAAAGCGGATGGAAACACAGTCAGTGCTGCAGCAGTCCAGACTTGGAGCTTGACTGGTTCTCCACGAGCGTCATCTGTGAGTTCTTCCTCCAGCCTGTGTCCGGCGACTCATTTATTTATTTTAGTGTCGTCGCTGCCGTGACATGCATTTTACGTGTCTCGAGACAGGAGACTCAGAGGAACGGCGATGTCGGCTTTGCTGCATCGATGACCATTGTTGTAGCATCAGTTCAATACCTCCTGAAGATCAACGAGCGCTCGGACTGGCTGTCGCGGGCATTGAAAAGCTGACGGGCCAACAGAAGATGATCATATCACTCGTCGCCGAAATGACGGCTGCGAGGAAAGAATTAGTCCTGTTTGCCCGAGATCAGCGATAGCTGCTTCGGACTAGTCGCTCTTGTGTAGTTTCTTTGTATTATATCTAACACGAGGATATGCGTACAATCGGACCTAGCGATGAGGTTTTGCTATTTTGCACGTGACCATCCACGTGTTTTCTATGAAAATTTTGAGTCCGTCTTCCCACCTTTCCCCCCACATGGCATGCGAATCAAAGTGTTCCCACCCGGCTATATCGTCGGAACTGACAGTCTTCAAATACACCTTTTCATTCCAGATGTATCTCAAGCACGAGCTTATGCTATTCACGGAAAAATCCAAGGCCTAGTGGATGCTGTAGGCCAAAAAACAGAGAACATCGCTGCTCTTCAGGTAGGCATTGGCTCCACACAGACGACTTATAAACTCACCAACCACCAAGGACGACGTATGCATCTATCTCGATGCTCTAAGAGGCAACTATACAATTCTTTGTGGTCACGAGTACTTGGGGGATTGCCCGCCCATCGACATTATGGACTCGGTATGGCTCTTTTCTAACGATATAACACTCTTATTAACCAGGACAGTTTCATCAACTATGCTTGGTTTGCCATAAACACTTTCCGCTGAACTTCAAAGAATTCTGGCAAACCTACCTATATCCGATAGTCTCTTGTGCTACCGAGGAACAAATGGCTGAGATGCATCATGACTGTCCTAAAGGATTATGGGCTGCTATGGTGGCAGAAAGCATGGGCCAACCTCAACTCCTATCTCATAGAGGAATCGGGCAAGCTGTCGTTAAGGACTGGTCAATTTTTGCATGGACCAAGGACATTTCTGTAAGATTTCCTTTATGTTTCATCGATCGTTCATAATCCAGGTTTCAGTGCTCACGTTGCAACATCGAAGGAACCTCCTGCATGGCAACTGGAAACACATCCGAACCCGGATGCCGAGCATGCCTCATCGACGGCTTCATTTGTGTCGGGCGAGAAGGGATACCTAATTTCCAAGCTGAAATAGCGAGTTTGGTGGCACAGATGGATGGCGTCGATAAGGATAATGTCGAATTTACAAGCCTTATCCATACAGAGGAACTACGAACGATCTTACGACATCAGAAAGTTCCAATCTAACATCATTACCACTCTGTTAACACCAAAAAATCCAATCGAAACCGAAATCAAAGCAATCATTTAATCCAACGGTGTGAGACAGCTCTATATGCCTATCAGCGACTATTCACGTTCGGAGGCGGCCATCGTACCTCATTAGAAGTTCTTCGACCTCCATCACGTTGACCAGCGACATATCTCCGATTGACTGAGACGTCGTCAGCTTCATCACTAGCACATCCCCCTTAACGATCCTCTCGGGATACAGCTTTTGGAGCAGCTTATTCCGAGCCCACCAACAACTTCTGTGGGAGGATACGTAGTAGATGACATAGGCGTGCATCCCCTTCAAACTCTGCATAAACGGCGGTAATGGCACTATTTTTCGCCCCTCGTCGCATTTGCGTCTACCCCCGATAAAGGGCGCGTAATCCATCCAATAACGAACGTCCAGATCATTGATTGAACGTGTCGCGTTGTCGGTGACAGACTCTAGCAGCGGCACTGGGACCAGACTTTTTTTCGAACACTTTGCACCGAAGAAGTAACCTAAGCAGTAAGGAACCTGAAAACAAATTAGAGGATGCATGCTAAAAACCAACACTAGATGTTCACCTTGCGGTTTATCGCGTTCTTCTGTTCGTGCAGCTTAGCGTCGGTATAACCATGCGAAGGAACAGACATGATGCGGTGAATCGAGCTATCTGCGGGTTAATATATATCGGGCGTCGGTGACTCCTGAATTTGTATATGTTTGGGCTTCCGTATATTAACTTACCCGACCACCCGCATCTTCAATGAATGCTTGCACCTGTATGTCTGTAGGTTTTGATGTGGTCGCTCCATGCCCGCCCCGTAATTGAAATTTGTATGGAATGCCCACCACACGAGGTCAGGTTTTCAATAAGAGCTCACGAATTGGCTGCTCACTTACACTAGGATTGTCCCGACTCATTCTCCAGTCCTTCATTTCGTCCATAGAACAGGATACCCATGGTCCTATCGGCCATCCTGAATGCTGCGCCTATCAACGTGGTACGAACAAGATGACGAGGATGACCGTATTCCTAACGAGCACCCATAGCTGCGAAACAAGGACGGTCTTCCATCCTCGCCATAGGCACTCGACTGGGATCTGTCCACGTATTTGATACCTCCCGTCCACGGACAGACGGATATCGAGGTTCGTCTCGGCTACTCGCAGTCGGCACCCTGAACTAATGTCTTGTAGACTCCGAAATACAGAGCACCGACACAAATTCCAACCTAGTCGTGGACCTCCAATGGAACACCAGCGATAGCCTCCTGGCGGCAGCATGTGCTGATCCGTACTATGCCATCGTACTTCTCGATCCCGAGACAGGCACTGTGTCATGCACTTTGACAGGACACACGCTTTCTGCCAAAGCGGTAGCCTGGAGCCCCGTTCACCCGATGCTATTGATGACGGGGGGACGAGACGGAACGATACGCCTGTGGGATATTCGATGTAGAGAAAGAACGTGGGAGAGTGAATCCGTATCGCCCATCACCAGTATCGTCGGTGCCCACGAACAATGGGACCACTCAGACCGAAGGACGCTGCAGCATGTTCTGGGTCCCTGTCACAAAACAATAACCAGTCTCACCTACGATTGTTATGACGATTATCATCTTATTAGTGGAGGATCATTCAATGGGTGCGTGTTTCATCGTATCGGGGGCCTTAGTTTAATGTAATGTACAACATCCTTCAACGATGGAACACGCGGTTTTTATCTGATGACTATTCCCGATCACCAGCCCGACCTATCTTATCATCTTGCCACGATCCTACCACCATCTCTAACAGGAAGCATCCTCGAGGCGTAGTCTCCCTTTGCCAAGGGATAAACGGAACCTCCACGGTAATCTTCACACTTAGCATGGACTCGAGCATTCACACATACTCCCGACTGGATTTACAACCCATAGGCACACCCTACAAACATCCCGCAATGCTCACGAATTCTTTTGGCGCGGGGCTGGCATTGTCACCTTGCGGACGTTGGATTGCTTGTAGCTCAGTCTCTGCAGAGGCAAGAGTTTACTTATTTGATGTCCAAAATGTTACTCGCATGTGGGAGATGAATGATAGGGGTGTGGAGTTGCGAGGAGTGTTTGGGAGGGCTGGGAAACTGGACTGGGGCGAGATGGAATTAGCAGTAAATAACCACTCTGGGGCAGTTTCAATCTGGCGACCAAGTCCCGCGGTTTATTGACACTGTCGAGACGAGCCAGAAGTCGCGTCGGGATCTTGGACCTGGGCTTCCCCGTAATAGATAATTTCAAAATCAAAATATCACTGAATTTTGATGGAAGAATGGTTCTGACCGTCCCCTCATCTGTAAGATGGTCTGCGAACCCGCCGCCCGCTTTCTTGATGCGCAAGAACTCGTACTCTTATCCATGGAACACTGTGATATATCCATGCTAGTCTCATGGTCACATATCGCACCCCTCTTCCGTCGCATCGTCCAAGGCATCATCCAATCCCGCCTCAAAAGAATTATCGCCCCGTTCATCCCCTACGAATACCACAGCCAATTTTTCTCGGTGCTCGATAAAACCGGAAGTTTCATCGCCAGATCTAGTGCGTTGGCAGTGATGACCCCATCTCTTGATTGGACACCTCAGGATGTCAATATTATAGTGCCCCGTGGGCAAATTTTGCGATGGGTGAATCTTTTCGGGTCTCTTGGCTATATTATCAACGCAGTCGGAAAGAAAGGATCTAAACGTCACGAACGCTACCCGATAAGACAGAGGGGTGTAGCGTCGGCTGTTGTGGTGTGCTTTATAAATCCACAGGTCTGTGTAGTAGTGCTTATCACGAAGTTTTTATCTAACCTGCAGATCAGTATGAAGTCGTATTGATAGAAAGCGTGGATCACACCCCCTTTCGGCCCCTTCTACACTCACAATTGACATCTCAAATGAACGCGATAACCAGCAGTCATGTGTACTGTCTCTACCTGACCTTGACCGTAGAGCGGGTCGCATTTAAAGCATTTGTCGGCGATCCTACCAGCGCATCGACTTCTAGCACCATTGATCTCCAACCGTACCGCCGACAGAGAGCCCAGGAACAACATCTCACTGTATATACGTGCGGTGAAGGTTATCCGAAGCCTTGTGGTCTGGCTTGCACCGAAATTGATCGGTCGTTGATTGGCTATAGAGGAGTGGGAGTTTTTCAATGGGGTGGATACTTGGGCACCCAAGTGTCGGAAGTCGGTCTGTATCCGGACAATTGCTGTCAACTTATCTGGAGACTCAGGGAGTGGTGTAACAATGTACATTGTCCAAATTAAACATCCACATGTAAATGTATGCCACTACGACTCTGGATTCAGAAGAAAACAAGAATGGCGAGGAAAGAAACATTGAGTAAGTTCTCTAATATGATGCGTTCAGTGCGACGCGAACCGATAACGTGGGAGCAAGTACCTGATCAGCCGTTTTCGCAGAGCTTCATCGACAGCAAGAGTGGAATCTATGTCTTTTCCGTCACTTCGTAACACAACAATATTCCCCCTTAACTTGACAACGCCCCGAGACAACGAATGCATCAGACGGTTAGCGGGGGAATTCTCTGGAAAGAAAATCGGTACATGAAAAACGATGAATGTCTGGTGGGCCTCTTCATTGCCGATTACGAGGAATGAAATCCTATTGATGGATTTTACTGCCCCGAGCCTGTGCAACTCCGGTATCCAAAGAGAGATATCCCAGTCATAAACTGAACGGGCTTTTCCGTCCTTCACACAAGGCAGAAATGGTACCGGAACCAGTCGAGGGGAGAGACAATCTGTCGCGTACAATAACGCGAGGCAGCTTTGATCTGTCTGTGCGTAGTTTTGGAACAGTTTGATTGTACAAATGCAACCACTTACAGCGGATAAAATCTGCTCCATTTTCGATGTCACGCCCCGTTCAGTATTCATGGGGACGTAGAACCGAGAACGTCGTGGAGGCAAAACGATGTGAGGGAGGAAGCGGGTGAAACAACATGACATTGGAGTACTACATAATTTTAAAATTGGGACCAATACCACGCCCGTTTGGCATCTAGATTGTTAAGCTTTCGGCTGATCGGACAGGAACAAAACGCTCACCAATCCATTCCCGACTCGCCACGACAAAAAGATATGTGGATGCCCACTCCCGATGACGCCTCACGGACCAAAAAGAGTCCAGGAGGCGACATCTTACCGGGAAGCTCCTGCGCGGTTCCCACCTATCAAGGAGTTAAACAATGTGACCTCGAACCATTGATCCAGAACATACATAGCCTCCTCTTCGTCGTATTCAGTCCACTGTGAAGTGCTTGCTATCAGTCTCAGATTAATTGTGTAATGAGAATCACGATCGCACTTTGATCAGGTATTTCCATACCTGAAATTTTTGTTACATACTGAAGGTAGGGATGTGAAGAAATGACTCACGATGCGATCATAGGGGTCAACATCGGCGCGAGCGGCTAGAAGGTATTCTGACCTATATGAGTGGTGACAGTCATCCCAGAAAGGATATAACTTACCGACGTGATACTCGTTGTCTTCCATTTCCCTAGCTGAAAGTAAGGCTAACGTACCGTGTAAACGCGTGGAGAGATCCTAGCAGACAACGCCGCTCCCATGCATGGACAGAAGAATGGAAGCCCGATGATACCAGGCGTTCTGATATCATACGAGTCAGCCAGCATCCAGAAAGCAGAAGGAATATCGACATCGGACCCGCGGAATCCCTCCTCCCCCATGATTACCGAGCACTTGGCCCACTATTGCGTTCCGTCTATACCTCTGCTTGCTTGTCCGGCATTCACAGCACCCCATGCCCTATCCCAATCCTGAATACCCCGCCGCTCGACGGTGGTACGCCGTAGAGGAGCTCGTTGAAGAAGCCATGGCTGCGGCCGACGTTGTAGGGCTGGGTCGATGGGCGTCTATCAATCAGCGGTTTCAGTACCTCATCCAGGGCATTGTTCAAAGACGGACAAAAGCAGCGGTAGCGAACTTTGTTCACGCTGATGATCTTAGTGCCTTTTTCGCGGTTCTCGACAAGACGGACAGTGCCATTGGTGGATCCACTGCACTTTCCGTCATTACCCCTCACTGTAACTGGAAGCCCCATGATTTAAATGTTATGGCGCCTCAAGATAGCAGTGGGCGATGGCTGGCCTTTTTTCGACATCATGGCTACCAAGGGCAGGAGATTTGTTTGGGCGAACTCGGAGAGTACGAACATCCGAGGTATCCAGTGCTGCAAGGTACGGTTGCGCATGCGGTGTATTTGTTTCAGCACGACAAAATAAAGGTACAAGGATTTACAGCACTCCGAGAGTCGATACTTACCGAGTTCCAGAATGACATCGTTCTCATCATCAGCAACAGCAATTCCTGTATGACGCCGATCATTGGCGCCCAAACTACCAGCCAAATGAACGCCGTAACTAGCAGCCACATATATTGCTTATATCCGAGTCTCACTACCCAATCCATCGCTCTGCGAGGGTATTACGCCAATCCCGCAGACAAATACTCGCCGATGGCCCTGCTATCCGACCGACGGGATCAACTGCGCGTACAACAACTGACGTACCATGAATCCAGTTTGGACCTAAACTGACCATGCGGGTTGGCGTGTGGCGATATAGAAAGGACGCTTTTTGGATGGCGTGGGGTTGGAATACTTCAATGGGGCGGATATATGGATTCTAAGCGTTTGGAAACGTTGTTGTTACCGGAAGAAACGTTGCATGTTGCGTGGCAGTTAGGAGAGTGGTGTTTCAACCTTCGTTGTGATATGGGCCATGTTATTCTCACTAACTCCGTACAATGATCACATAAATAATTCCACCATCTATCAAGGTATATAATGATGTGATTCGAGAGACCTTTCTAAGTGACCCCCCCTGATCACTTTTCTCATAAGACGGAGTAAACTCTCTGGATTTCTATTTGTTGTTGAGATTACAGACAGGCTGAATGCAGAGAAGCTGGACTCACATATTTCTCAGAGACGAGCCTTTCCGGTGCCTATTTAGCGATGCTTTCTTTCCTTCAGCAAAACACACCGACGTCTCACCCCTTCGCATGTTTCGGAACAACAGATAATCGAACATGTAGTTTGAATCCGGAGGTGCCATTCCCCAACTATGCGCGAATACCAAATCGTCCTTCAGCAATTGGGATAACTGATGATCGCTTCGCAACGGGATAATCCAGGAAAACCTGTCCCCGACACGACGCTGGAATCTGAATTCCGTCCTGGTGAGAGCCTCGTCCCGAGTAAGATAGGAAAAGCCGCGATCAGTGTATTTCTTGAACGCAGCATCGTCGGAGTGTTTAACTGCTTTGTTCTGATAAGAGACACCCTCTAAAAAAGTAGCGTGGGGGTACAGCGATACTGCATGCGCATAAGTTATGATGTTCATGATGCAGGCTAAACAGCGAGTCAGAGAGACCAGAACCTCGAGACGGCAAACTCACTTGAGTGAAAGCCAAGAATCACTTGGAATGGGCAATACAAGGTCGTGATAAGATCTACCTTGGTGCCGTCTGCTTTCGTGTAATGCAATACCGCAAACACACCGCGCCCCGAATACTTGGCCGACGTATTGTCGGATGAACAGACGATTTTCAACTGAAATACGGAGTCCAGACGCTCTTTGGTGGCCGGGAATGATTCACTGGGCACCGCTTCTAGGTACGCGTAACCCGCCCCGACCAGGAACTCGTGCATGGCAGCAATATGGCGGTGATGAACGTAGAGGTCAAGATCCGAATTATCAAACCAGATGCGCATAAAAAACTGAAGTGCGACAGATCCGGAAATCAGTAGCCCGGTCACTGCCTGGAGTTCCTGAAAAAGTGCGTATTGCTGGGCCGTGAAAAAGGGTGCTAGGAAGGCTTCGAGTCTATACGCCCTCTTCATGAATCTGGAAACTGCGTTTTGGACCACAGAAGCACAAAGCGACAATCTGAACAGCTCCCCAGGAGTCGAATCGCACAGCAAAAAGTCATCGGCAGTTCCGAGTCTGTGTAGAATATCAGAACAATTGTCGTGACCAACCCCTGCACACATACTGCAATATATCCTCAAGCTGTGGCATCGCGGACGAAAAGGTGAACGCACACGAGGATCAGTAAATGGATGCCGATCGGAATGTTCTTGTGTACATCCGGGTGGAGCGGAACGGAAAGAGATATTTCTCCGACTATTCCCGGGGTATATAAAATAACAGGAATCGGGGAACGGACGCCATGGACAACTTTATCCGTGATCTCTATGAACTTAAGGACGAGCGTGTCTTAGCGAAGGTCATATCATCGAGGGACATTGTCTGACCTAAGCCCCCTCTGGAGTACGAGTTTCGAGACGGCATCATCGAGTCCTCTAATGTTATTCTGTTCGGATGCTTAGAACCGAACACATCAATTCTGTTGCACCTGGTGGTACGTGCCACCGTATCTCGAGACCGCGAGTACTAACCTAGCGCAGCGTCCAGACTACCAAGCAAACGGATGGTTTCATTTAACCTGCCCGCTCCACTGGGGTTTCGGGGCTGCGAAGATGATGTATGACATGCAGCTAGGAACATTGAAGGAACTTGTTGAACGAGATTCGGAGGTGCGTGCAGTCGTTCTTTAAATCAATTACCTAGAACTCACAAATTCCCCCTCCCCTCCCCCCAGAGCCAAAAGAGCCAAAAAACTACCATGAGCTGGATTACAGGAGAGCAAGAGCAAGACATTTTACTCTATATAGATTTTACACGTCTCGTGAGTCACCCCCTGCGAAAGAAGACTTATACTCACTAGAATAGAACGTTTACGTGCCCTGGGAAGAAGACAGCGGCATAGGTTTACTGGGCCACGATCTTGTCGATACACAAAATAAGCTACTCAGTCAAGCAGCCCATCACCCAGTCCACGCTACAGTTCAGTTGCAGCATATCCCCGAGTTCACAGACAGTATTGAAGTATGCTTTCTTTTAATCAAACCCAACACAAGCTTATTCTGCCGACAGGCTTTCATCGCCAAAGTTATACGCCTCGATATCATTTCGGTAGTGTAGAGGTAGCCGTACATAACCATCAATATAATCCAACGAGGACCTTTCTCTTTTCCTTCATAAACTGTTCGATTCATGACACAAAAACAGTTCGTTTGATTCTTTCATATGTTACATGACTGAAATCTGATCTGGGAGTATCATTGGGAAAACCTGTTCATTCCTCTTCACCCATAGCATCCTCGTCGACCATATCATAAAGTTTCATTGCGATCTTTCCCATCTCATCCATTACCCCTTCCATAGTGGCGATCTTGTACAAAAACCCGCCTCTGAGACGTCGAGCCTCGCTTGCTGAAGTGTTGAAGCGAACTTGGAGTTCGTCGATATGGCGCGCATAGGCTAGAACAAGAACGGATTAGAGAAGAGATGGTCACAAGGCAAAGAACCTCACCGAGTGGCACGTCTGGTGCCTGTTTACTACTGGAGAACTTGGCCTTTTTGGCTGAAACTCGAGTTGTTTAGGTTAAAGCAAGAAAAAGACAAAGTACTTACACAACCGGGGCTCGTCTTGAGAGATAGCTTTGCGCTTAGCATCCGTCGGCACGTCGTTGTCTTGATCACAGACCTCAGCGATCCCTGGGTTCACTGGGACAAACTCAACGTCGGGTCCAGAGGTGGTCGAAGCATTGTCTGCATTCTCAACCATTTTATCGACATACTCCAACCCCGAGAGTTCAAGCACAGATTCAAATGGGATCGTCTCAGCAGGACTGACTTCAACATCCTTAACTGGTCCCGCAGTGTCCCAAACCAACCAAGGAACCTTTCTGCCTTTACTAGAAAGGTCTCGAGTCTTTCAACGGCTGGGGGTTGGATTACTGGAATCGGCACTGGAATCGGACACAGGGGAATTTTTGTGTCTTGAATGGCATTGTTGGAAGTCGATGTGTCCGCGCGCAGCATAGATTCCACCTCGAGCAGGGGACGACGACTTATTTGTCTGGACGGAGTGCTTTGTCCGAAAAGCTGGAAGCGGTTTCGAATACCGACGGGGGAGACAAGCTGGCTATCGGCACCACGAAAGAGGTTCGAGCTCGAGGCCGAGAAAGGGAACATTGACCCAAGTGAGGTGGAGTTAGTATTCAGGATAAATTTCAAAGAACGACGGCCATCGGGAGGTGGAGACGGCTCCGGTGTTCTTAAATCGATAAGACTGCAGACTTTGGCCTAGGTGTCAGCGAATTGGAATTCATCTGTTCCTTTGTGGTTAGTCAAACTGCTATCGAAATGCAGTGGTTGAACCCCTCACCACTGCCGTTGTCAGAAGGAAATGGAGGTTTACTATAAAACACAACCTCGACGGGCGAAGACATTATTTTCTTAAGCGGAGAGGACGGGACTGGCGTAGTTGGGGTCGAAGAGATTTCAATAATCTCTCGAGGAGGGCCTTCGTCAAGATCCGTACTCGTTGTAGACTCGATAGCTTCCGTTCGCGCTAGTTGATTAAACTACCAACGTCCACTTTGGATCTTGGGACGTGGGACTCTTCTTAAGTGCTCAAAGAATATACATTCCGTGTTTTCCCATAGTTGTTCCTCTTCAGAAGTAAGCTCCTTATCAGATTTCATGCAGTAAGACCAGGCTTTAAAGCTTCGCCCGAGCTACTGGTCAACGTCTACTTTGAGGTTGGAGGTAAACGTGGGCACGTAATTAAGGATTACGTGCAAATTGGTCAGATAAATGCCGAACTGATCAGCGTCGGGAGGTCGCGACTCCACTCGTGGAAGCGGAATCATGGTCACGATTGACGAGGAGATTCGAGCAAAGAGGTACAGTTACTACGAGTGTGAGCTGGTAAACTAACCGTGACGGTGAGAAGCAAGGGGAAAAAAGAAGAGAGAGTGTGTGTGTGTGTGAGGGAAAGAGAGAGAGAAAACAAGCGGCCCCCATCACGAATGTGATAGCGACGAGTCATTGTGGCTTCTCGAAATATCTCAAAGAGAAGACATATAGGAAGTCTCCAACCACACGAAGTCACTGAGGCTATAAATAGAACCCTAATTAGCATTTAGGTCTTTAATCCACCATCTTGGGAATTTGATCGCGACTCCTGGCAACCAGGACGACAGCAGAAGCATCTCATCAGAAGAAATTGGGAAAAAGTGAAAAGAAAGTTGGATAGTGCAAGTTCTAACTAAGGAACCAAGGGAAATGTCACAGTGAGACCACACACTTACTGTGGCTAGTATACCAGCCTCCTCTCACGTGCTATTGGCATCACACAGACCACAGAGAGACAGACCGAAACATTTATTGGGCCACATTTATTCGTCTAAGTACAGTTAAAGCATACCCGCATCTTCGCCATCATCATCATCCGTGTCGTCGGCAGGCTCAGTTCCTTCTTCGAGCGGCTCGTATGGAACGACCCACGTGACTCCAAGGGGGGTCTCATCTAACAGGCTTGGATGCCACTTAGGATCAGGCTCCCGAGTCCAATCCGACGATGTTCGGTCGGTGAGAGCGACCACACTCTGAACGTTGAGACTGACACGCATGCCGTTCTGCGTGCTGAACTTGCCTACTGTAAAAATGACCAACGCAGTCGAGTGTTGGTTGATCTCGCCACCGTGGAGAGGGTTAAGGTCCCAATATTCCTTCAGTTTGAAGTTGTCCCGACCATCAAACACAGGAACTACAGGAACAGGGTCAGAAATAGTAAGACAAACCAGTCACTCATACTTACCGGGCTTCTTGGAAGACCGGACATCAGGCCCATGATCACCTCGCTTGGGTTTACAGGAAGCAGACTCCCACTCCTGTCCTCCTACTCCTATCACACGAACCCGATTTAGCATACGTGTACGAGGACACATAGGAAATCCGAACCTTGCTTGAAAGTCGAGAAATACAACCCGCCTGTTACGATTATTCTTTTCTTTTTCTTTTTCTTTTCCTTTTCTTACGTGTTCACGCTTACTCTATGTTGCGATCTCGGTCGGACGTTGCTGCGGCACTATCTTTAGCCTACGCAACGTGTATTTAAGTAGAGCCTCAGCTGGTCTAAACCCCAGCTTCGGCTAAGGTTTATTCTACCTAACATCGAACTCCGTTCTTCGTGACTATTTGTCCCATCGACTTACGTCGCCTTTGACTTGCTGAGCGTCGTCTACCGAAGTGCGAGTAGCGACCTTAGTACGATCTAAGTCGATTTGAGTTAGTGGCTAACATTTAGCCGAAGCTCGCCTTACGTTGCTCAGTGTCACTTCTGAGAAAGAGCGCTGCCCAACTCTTTTACGAGAAATTACCCCGCTTGACCAGAGAGGTCATCGCGTACGTTCGTGTGGACAACCCGGTGCTTGTCAGCGTACAGCGAGTGGACCAACGGAAAAGCACTCACCGCCACCATTCATCCCATACACTACCTCGTTGCGCTAGCCTTGTGGCTAATACCCCCTCGGCTGCTCCTTCTGTTGTTAGTGATAAAGTTGATTGTTGAAACTCTCACCAACGACGACTTCATCCTTGGAGTTATCGTAACTGTATCCTTCACCCTCGTTCTCATCGGGCTCGGAATATCAGCAGTGGTACTAGCAGGATTGCTAGCCGCCCTGTACGCAATATATCCCCGCCTCATTTAGAACACCACGTATCCCAACACGAAACCTTTCGTGCTCGCCCTCCAGCTCGCCTCTATCTTAACAGTTCTGCTGTTAATAGTAACGAGCACTCCTCCCGACGAAACCTGCGAGATCTCGTTGATGAACGGTTCCAATTACGAGACCGACCTCAGCCTGATTATCGCGCTCTTGATAGTTCTCACCATCCTTGCGGTATACCAGCTTGCATGGTCAATCGTCGACCTGCGCAGAGGATAGATCCCTATACGGATGCCCTGGTCCGACGCCATTCCTGCAATCTTCGTAACTTTTATCGCCTTTTTCTTGTCCATTTCTTTATACTACACACTCCGCTGCTGTCGACACCAGAGAAGGGTCCGAACTCAACTCCCCTTCCACTACGTGCCCAGCGCACCCGCATATCCCCCGCAGGTGATAGACATCCCCGCGGCCTCGCAGCAAACACTACCAGCTCCAGAAACCCCTCGGCTAGAGCTACACTCTCTCTATGGAGAGTCCCTCTACGGATCGTCGCGACCCAGCTCGCGATCCTCAGAGTCGAGCACCGACTCCTACAGAAGCGCTACCGACGAGTCAACCGACTCCGTCGACATCACCGATACCAGGAGCATACTCCTCGACAGAGGAGACTCGCCCCTACCAGGCCTCTTCGACCAGCCTTCAGTCGAAGGCGAGTCAAGCCCCGACAGAGGCCGAAGACAAGACACCAGGCATCTGGTCGCGGGCGAAGAAAGCCCTGACACCGAGTTCGAAGGGGACGAGCTCACCGAGTGGGAAAGAACCCGCCTCGACGACATCCTCGACGACCTCTACCCGAATACGGAGGAGGATGCAACCTATTCCGGAGACAACTGGTCCGGAAGGTCATCCACGAAGTGGGTCGACGCCCAGTGGGGAGATTCAGACATTGGAGCAGAGTGAAGGAGGTATATACAGAGGCAAAAGGACGACTACGACGCCGACTCAGGAGAGCTTGGCCTCGGAGCCTCCGCGGCTACCACCCGTGCAACTCAGCCACAGTCTCTTCCAAGGGCCTGGCCAACCAATAGAGGCCCCCCAGTCGGCTGGCATCCCAGCACCAGTTGGGTATACGCCGACAACAGGGAAGAAACTCCTGTGGCCAGAATCGCAAACAGAAGAGAGCCCGACCCAATCCCTGAAGGGTCCGAGACACCCCCGCTCCCTTCCCCCGTCCCCTCGAACGAGCCGACGAGTGGGGAGCTTTGGGGCGAGTTCCCAGATCTCGACCCCGAGGAACTTGGCACAATTACCGCTGCCGAGCGCCTCGCCGGAGTCTCCGACTGGGAACCGTCAGTCTCGTCGCGAGCCTTCGCCGATCCCGTCCCCCTCGCCCAGCGACCATGGCCGCTCCTATATCACGCGTACGTCGAGTCCCTCCGACTCCCTCAAAACGCCAGGGAGTCCTCAGAAATTCAGGCCCGAATGGAGCGAGGCCGAGCGCACGATGCACGCATCCGACGTGCCGAAGAGGACGCTCTCTACGGACCCAACGGCTTCTGGGACCTACCTGTCGAGCCCAACGCCACTCCCGCCGAGATCGACAACCGGGTACGAGCCGCTGCCGTTCGCTACACTGGATACGCCCGGAGGGCAGGAGGAGATCTTGAGGCCAGAGCACGAGCGTGGAGGGTCTATCAAGAAGAGATCTCCAACGAGGACTCCGACATCGGGAGGTGGAGACGAAACAAGGAGATTGACCGACTCGCCCGAGAGAGGAAGGAGGCAGAGGATGCCAAGCCGACCCCCGAACCTGGCCCTGGAGCCGACGGTAATGGCGGCGGTGAAGCAGGTCCTTCTTCAGGGGCCAGTGCCTAGGCCCGGGATCTTCGAATTATTACCATGGCACGGACTATATGAAATCATGATGGAGGATATGGAGAAAGACCCGCAGTGGCTCTTCTCCGAGGCAGGAGAGGATTACCGTCACGCCAAGAGTTTGGGTGACGTGTACCTAATGAAGAATATCCTCGACGTGGAAACCTGGCACCGGGCGGCTATCGTCTGGAACCTGGTAAACCCCAGCGCACCACAGCAGGGGTGTGAAGCGTATAAGAGGCCTCAACCGATGCCTCACCCTACGGATTCCTCGAACTTCTTCCCCGAAGGCTTCTTTGGAGGCGCGGGAGAAGACGACGACGACATGGACGATCCAGGCGCTGGACCGTCCCGCACAGACAAGGGAAAGGGGTCCACGGTACCCCCGTTCCCACCGAAACAGCCGCATTACCCGGATCCGGCGGGATACCCTCCTCCGGGCGAAAACCGCCACTTACGATCGGTATCACGACCGCCTAAGCCGCCGGTACCGCCGCACGTGCCATCTCCCCCGGATCCAATTCCTCCCTGGCAGCTCGCGCCGGGAGCCGTCAACAATCCCTGGAATGACGTCAAACCCAAATTAGTTACTCAACCCGAGTACTTTACCGGGGTTTCCTCGGATATCACGCGCTTCCTCCACCATTGCGAAGTCTACTTCGCGGTGTTTCCCATGTATTATTCCATGAACGATCAGGGGCACAACCCCTACCGCATCACGTTCGCTCAAGGATATCTACGAGGGGACGCCCAACAATGGTGGGTCGACCAGTACTACCGATACCGGGACCCGCAAGGTCATTGGAGATTCCCCACCTGGGCGGAATTCTCCGAAGACCTCAAGCGCGAATTCCGAGAAGTAGCGGAGTTGACCATATGGAAGGCGGAGTGGAAAAAGATCCGACAAGTGGACTTCAAGTCCGCAGTCGAGTTCTTTGCCAAGTTCGAGCGGCTGGCCCATAAGTGCGAAGAATTCGGAGATGAGAAGCAGATGTTCGAGGCAGTAGAAGCGGCGATAAGGCCAACAGTGCGAAACACGGTTATGCATGGGGACAACGAGCGCCCCACAACCTACGCTCAGTGGAAGGCGCGAGTCTTGAGGATCGACGCCAACTATCGGTACGGAGTCGCCCAGGGATTGGGCAGTAAGACCTCCTCGAACCAGTCCGGTTCGGGTCGAGGCAATCAACGAAGCAGTGGGCAAGGGTCAGGTGGCGATAAGAAAGACGCCACGGGGACCACCTATGGAGGTGCCGGACAGCCGATGGAAATCGACAAGCTGCGGTCCGACAAGAGGTGCTTCAAGTGTGGGAACACGGGGTGGAGCCCGAAGCACAAGTGCCCTGACGACAAGTCCAAGTGGCTTCCCGTCAAGCTCCCACCTCGCAAAAAGCCCAACGTCGCCCGTCTCCGCCAATTGCTCGCTGAAGCCGAAAACGAGGAGACCGCTCCTACCACGAAGATCGAAGAGGTCAAGGAGGAGAAGAAGAGGGACGAGAAGTTGTCAAAAGACCAGCCGGCGTCGAAGTAAGCGATTCGACGGCGTCGGCAAAGGACTTAGTTTCATCTGGTGCGCATCCATGTACTATTAGTCGGACTCATACTACGTATGTAGGAACTCCGTATGATCAATATACAAACTTTTTCGCCGCTCTACCAGTAGAAGAAACTAAGAATGATGAATCGCAAACCGCCTACGGCGTAGGAGGGGATTTCCGCCACTGGGCGCAGTCTGTGCTCAGTAACGAACCCCTAGGGGCCGTCCCAGCTCAGGAACCCCCGACCGACCGCACAGGGAAAGCCCCTCGAGGGCAGAGCCCCCTAGGTCGTGCCCCGACTGCACCCTTGACGAAGGGAGGTCACCCCGGAGTGGGAGAAAGGCCGACAACCCAACCCGCTGGGCCTGCGTCCTCGTTTGTGGGGCCGTCTGTTCTAGCAGGAGGCGTCGAGAAAGCAGCTGAGGCCGTGAAGAAGGGGGACCACCTGCCCTTAGTAGCCAAGGACAATGCTGCGGCAAACGGTGCAGACCCCCCGACGGAGCCGACATGTGTGCGCTCGCGAAGGGTTACCCGAAGTACCGCCGGGTCCAGGAAGAGCCGTAAGAACAGGACGACTGTGGAGGTTACAACACCGAGCACAAGCGCCCGTGGCCAGGGCCGAACACAGGGCAGCGAGCCCTCCTCCACCACTTCGACGGAAGGTGACCAAGTGCCGCCGAGGGACCCTCTTCGGTCCGGTGACCAAATGCCACCTCGAAGCAAGAACCCTTCGGTTTCGTTGGAGGAAGTGGAAGATGAAGAAGCCTACCTGCGGTCCGACATACCGGTCGTGACCCCTAGAAGACCAGCATCACCCACCATCTCTCTTACCGCCAACGCCAACGATCAGAAGGTGTTTAGAGCAATGTATTATGAACCGCACGGGATCCTTTGGACCCGTCGAGCTCTCCGTATCGCTCGTGGGGACGAAGCAGCACGCGCCGTCCTTAACGGATGGGTACATCCTCGACGACGCGAAGAGGTAACGGACCAGTTATGTCATCAGTTGGAGGAGCAAACCGAGACGGCGACTCAGGCCAGGGAACGGTGGCAATGGATGGAGGATTTACAGAAACCTCCGATGTATATACGGGGGAGGAAAGGACGAAACGTATCAATAAAGTTGCAGTTGGAGACGCTTGACACCCGGGAGACTCATGCCCTATCCACCCTAGTCGATAGCGGAGCAACCGGGAGTTCAATTGATCGCGACTGGGCCCAGGCCCACAGTCTCAATTTGAAAAAAGCGGCCCGCCCCGTCCCGGTCTATAATGCCGACGGCACCCGTAACAAGGGTGGGGATATTACCGAATATGCCGAAGTACGATTACGGATAGGAGATCACGTGGAACGGATCGAACTAGCCGTGGTCGACTTAGGCTCCACCCCGTTGTTCCTAGGACATGACTGGTTACAGCGTCACAACCCGCTCATTGATTGGGATACCGGGGCCATTACCCTAGCCCGATGTACATGCAGAAAGATTCCCTTCTCTCTCCCCGACACCGATCCATCGGCGCGTTGGGACGAGTATGAGGAAGGGGACACTATCCTGGTGATTGATTTCGAAGAAGCCTTCCACGTACGAGCAATGGGGACTAGGTCCAATGAACTAGCCGCCCAAGCCAACGCCAAGAAAGGCGTCAAGTCGTTCGAAGAAGTAGTGCCCGAAGAATATCGGGACTACAAAGACATTTTCGACAAGGAAAATTTCGACGAACTTCCCCCGCGCAAACCCTGGGACCACGCCATCGAGCTGATCCCCAACGCTAATGCCAATCTAGACTGTAAAGTCTACCCCCTTAATCCTGCGGAACAGGAGGAGTTGGACAGGTTTTTAGACGAGAACTTGACCACCGGGCGTATTCAGGCCTCAAAGTCCCCCATGGCCTCTCCCTTTTTCTTCGTTAAGAAGAAGGATGGGAAACTGCGACCAGTTCAAGACTACCGAAAACTCAACGAGATGACCATCAAAAACCGTTATCCGTTGCCACTTATCGGAGAGCTCATGGACCGACTGAAGAGAGCCAAATACTTCACCAAACTAGATGTTCGGTGGGGATATAATAACGTACGAATTAAAAAGGGGGACGAGTGGAAGGCTGCCTTCCGAACCAACCGCGGTCTCTACGAACCCCTCGTCATGTTCTTCGGGCTTACCAACTCTCCCGCTACCTTCCAGTGGATGATGAACGACATTTTCAAAGACCTCATCACCGCGGGCGAGGTGTCCGTATATCTGGACGACATCCTCATCGCCTCCAAAACTAAGGCTGAACACAAGAGGATTGTACGAAAAGTCCTCCAGATCTTACGAGAAAACCACCTGTTCTTGAAAGCCGAAAAGTGTGAATTTGAGGTGGAGGAGACCGAATACCTGGGGGTTATCATTAGCGAAGGAAGGATCCGAATGGATCCCGTCAAGATCGCGGGCCTGCTCGATTGGCCGACTCCTCGTCGCAAACAGGAGCTACAATCTTTCCTCGGCTTTTGTAACTTTTACCGGCGGTTTATCAAAGATTATAGCCGTCACGTTCGACCGCTTACATTCCTCACCGGCAAACAAGAGTGGAAATGGGGGGAAGCTCAAGAAGGGGCGTTCAAAAAACTGAAGGAGTTGTTCCAGGAGGACGTGGTACTTGCCATTCCACTCGATCAAGGACGTTTCAGGGTGGAAGCAGATTCCAGTGAAGGAGCAATAGGGGCGGTACTTTCCCAATGGCAAGACGAGAAGTGGAGGCCAGTAGCCTTCCTCTCCAAAGCCTTATCAGTGACCGAGCGAAACTATGAGATCTACGACAAAGAGCTCCTAGCCATTATGATCGCCCTCGAAGAGTGGCGTCAATACCTAATGGGGGCGAGGGAAGACTTTGAGATTTGGACGGACCACTCCAATCTCCAGTACTTCCGTAAGCCTCAGAAACTCAACCGACGACAAGCACGGTGGGTAACTGAGCTAACGGAGTACCAGTTTACCTTGCATCACAAACCCGGGGCACAGAATCGCAAGGCGGACCTCTTGTCCAGAAGGGCGGACCACGAACAAGGAAAGGGGGACAACAAAGACATCACCGTCCTCAAAGCCGAGCACTTCAGGGCTTTGATCATGCCAACCACAGAGGAGCTCCACGAAAGGATCAAAATCGCTACTCACGATCCTCGTCGGTGGGACAGGGGCATTTCGGACTCCCTCAATCATGAGAAGGGGGTGTCCCGCGAACAAGATCTTCTATGGTATGATGGGCGCATCTATGTACCGGTCGATCGCGAACTACGTGGACAGATCATAGCCCTTAAGCACGACCATGTCACGGCAGGACATCCAGGAATCGAAAAGACCAAGGAGTTGGTGCTTCGCGATTACTGGTGGCCGAGGATGCGTCGGGACATAGAAGCGTATGTGAAAGGGTGCGACGTCTGCCAACGAACCAAGGCAGATCGTCGTCCAAAAAAGGCTCCCCTACACCCTAACGAAGTTCCAGTTCGCCCATGGACACACATTTCCGTGGACATGATCACCAAGTTACCAGATTCAAAAGGCTTTGACTCAATCCTAGTAATAGTCGACCGCTTTTCCAAGACGATCATCCCTATCGCGTGCACCGAGGAGCTCACTTCCCTCGGCTTCGCCAAAATCCTGAGGGACTACGTCTATGTACCTTACGGCGTGATGCCGGAGAAGGTCATTTCAGACCGAGGCTCGGTCTTCGTCTCCAAGTTTATGAAGGAATTCTACACCCTCATTCACGTTGAGGGGAACCCTTCTACCGCGTATCACCCCCAGACAGACGGACAGACAGAGAGGGTCAACCAAGAAATTGAAAAATACCTAAAGATGTTCGTCAACGATCGACAGAGTGACTGGAGCGAATGGCTACCTCTAGCGGCCTTCACTCACAATAACCGTCAGCACTCAGCGACCGGGTACTCCCCGTATAAGATAGTCTTTGGGCGCGACGGACAGGTTATTACCACAGTACAAAAAATGACAGTAGTCCCAGCGGCGGCAAAATTGGTAACGGAGATCGAAAAGGCTCAGAAGGAAACAAGGATATCCCTGGAAAAAGCGGCCAAATCAATGAAGAAGGCTTATGACAAGCACAAGGATCAGGCAGCGGAATATCGACCGGGAGATAAGGTATGGCTAGACACTACCAACCTAAAACTCCCTCGCCCCACCAAGAAACTCGGAGATCGCCGTGTTGGCCCCTTCGTTATTATCTCGAAGAAAGGAGCCTCAGCTTACGAGCTCAAATTACCTATCCGTTGGAAGATCCACAACCGCTTCAACGAGTCGTTACTGACACCCTACGTGGCACCAGCCTTCTCCAATCAACCACGTCCCGAGAGACCACCTCCAGAATTAATCGACGAAGAGGAGGAATACGAAATCGAGGAAATAGTAGAGCAGCGGGACAAAGTGGTAGGCCGCGGACGAACTCGCCGCACCATTACCGAATATCTGGTAAAGTGGAGAGGATACCCAAGGGAAGAGAACTCCTGGGTAAAACGTTCGGATATGGCGAACGCAGAGGAACTCGTCAACGAGTACGAAGCCCACCTCCAAAGAATCCGTTGGGAGGTTGATAAACACGGAAAGACGGTCGGAAGAGACGACAAAATACCTCCGGAAGCTAAAACGCCATACCATGACCCGGACACCCCGTGCGTCACGGATGTCGAAACGGTGTACTCCTCCGAATGCACCAACCCAAGGCATTCGGATGTACAGTCCTCAATAGAAATACGAGAGATCACGGAGGAAGAGGCCAACGGAATACCCGTCATCAAAGAAACACCCAACGACGAAGACTCCGATTCCGACCTCGACAACTTACAGCGAGTCCATGAAAACTGGGACTTCGACAGCGAAGATGATGACAACGATGATTATAGTGTCTTATCTTTCTATAGCGAGTCGGCAACGAGTGGGGAGGAAAGTCAGGGCTCATTCGGGACGAACGAGTCTTGAGGAGGGGGTAATGTTACGATTATTCTTTTCTTTTTCTTTTTCTTTTCCTTTTCTTACGTGTTCACGCTTACTCTATGTTGCGATCTCGGTCGGACGTTGCTGCGGCACTATCTTTAGCCTACGCAACGTGTATTTAAGTAGAGCCTCAGCTGGTCTAAACCCCAGCTTCGGCTAAGGTTTATTCTACCTAACATCGAACTCCGTTCTTCGTGACTATTTGTCCCATCGACTTACGTCGCCTTTGACTTGCTGAGCGTCGTCTACCGAAGTGCGAGTAGCGACCTTAGTACGATCTAAGTCGATTTGAGTTAGTGGCTAACACCGCCGTCCTTGACAGGGACACACAAGACGTCTACGTTGATCGTGGTGGCGAGGAACGCAGCTACTCGAGGCCAGAACCTCTCAATCGTTACAATGGAAATCGATTTCGTCTCGTCGCTGACTGACAGCACGCTTTTCACGACTCTACCAGTGATGTAGAAGGAGACGGTTTTGCTCTCCGAGTGGCAGTTGCCGATGTGCCATCCTTTGGGTTTAGTGGGGTCTCGACCGACTGGGTTGAGTTGGAAGTCTTTGGGATCGGCCGTATAAATATTGTGCAAGCGTCCGTATGATGGCATGAGAATGTACAAGTTGAGGATACGTCTTTAGCACCGAAAACACAAAAAAAAAAGTGAGTCAACAACAACGAGAAGAATGGGTTAGATACGCACTTAATTTTCGTCAAATTACCCGGACAATGAGAGCGCATAGAAATCACAGGGACTGGACCCCTCACGCCACTAGACACGTCGATCACGGCACTTCCTACACCTTGGAGAATAGTCACTCCCACGGGCAACTGCACACCCGTTTCAGCAAAATTGACGACCGCTTTGGAGGGCGAGGGGGGAGGACTCTTGACGGCAGTTTCATCGGAGAGTCTGTCGGGGATGTAAGGGGGTACAACACTAACGATGCAGATGGGATTCCTTACGTGGAGACGTTGGACAAAGTACTGGACAGTAATCAGGGCAAGTAAAATGCGATCGAATGATATTAGAACGCACCTATTACTGTCCGTCTCGTTGGCCCCGACATCGTTTGAACTGTCGGATGCGAGGATTAGAACGATCATCAAGAAAGAGTGAGGAGAGAAGGTCACCGAGTCCTTTTAGAGGGACTACCACCCTGAGCCTCAGCGACTCTCTTTTCAGCAGTGGGCTTAGCTTTAGTCATGAGGAACTGGGATGAAAGGACAGGAGAGGGTTCGAAAAAATCTCGGGGTATAAATAACGCGATGAAATGTTACCCCGACCACGCCCGAAAAAAAGGAACAGCACCTACGCTGCTCCGCACTCATTCCGGTATCGCACAGCTTATAAAGAATCTTGTGCACCATCGCTTCCGAAGTCCGAACAATGCCTCTCAAGTTAGAAGTCGCCGATTGCGACCACCTCCAAAAATTATTGTCGTTTTGTGCAGGCGAGAGCATTATTTCTTCGCAGATAAAAAATGCAACTCACCTTACTTAGATGACATCCACAAAGCGCACCTCTTGGGCCAGAGAAACGCCGAAAATCGGGACATCCAGCTATGCTGCTTCGTCAATGTCATCAACATCGAAAAGTTATTCAGCGTTGATTCAACATCATCCAACGACAGAAAATATCTTGTGTGGAAGAATACCGGAGAAGAAGCAGTACTACATTTCCAGGGAATCGCGTCACAAATATGCGTGACCCCGTTCCGCCCGGATTCACCTGGACGAATGTGAGTTCTTGTAAACAGCGTTAACGCTATCTTACCACTCCTCACTAGAGCGCGTCCAGGAGTACTGCGTCAGTTTATCCAGGTGGTGTCGGATCCGGATGACAGCATCTTCCAAGAAGCGCGCGCCGCCGAGAAAGCGATTCAGAAGTTCATGTGGCAGTACGGCAGAAATCCAGATCATCTCGTATTACACGACAGTACATTCGGAGGAATCCCAGCCCTATATGCTGACAGTAAACTATTGACAGCACCGTCTCAGCCCGTAGGAACAACGATACCGATTCATGCCGACATGGAAGAGAAGAACGCCCTCACTCGACTTTGCCAAGATACTAGACATCGGTATACCGACGACAACGCAGTCAGTTACTTCGAATGGTATTGTCTAGATGACAATACTATGAGGCAAGAGTTACACTGTGTTTGGAAGCGCTATTACTTACCAAAATTCAACAGTCTTCAGCCTCGGGATAGTGGTCGCGCAATAAGAGCAGGGCACTTGGTCGACATCGGAGTCACCTTCAGACTGTTATTAGGGAAACGCGGAGACGTGAGGTTCATCTCAAAATTGGATAGCATTACCATCATCGACCGAAGCAGCGCCGATGTAAGTAACGACCGCCCACAAGGGGTTTTTGTTTTTATCCGTTTAACAATACCTGATGATGTCGCAGAAGTTGGCCGAAATGAAGAGAAATGCCAATATCACCGTACCACGAAGCAGCCCGAAGAAAAGAAAGATTGCAGCTGAGGTTATCAGTACCGATGTTTTATTCACAAGCGCAGCATAATAGACACAATATATATTATCTATTTGTTGACCTTCCGTCGTTTCTTCGCCGAATCGTTGGTAGCAGTACCTCTCCCCCTTTTGCGACTCGACACCCTGCCCGCACGGGTTTCATCCGTCCCAGGCCTGGCCTGAACGGTGCTATACCACTGATCTGCTTCTATTTGAAGGTCATGCAATCGCCGACTACTCACGTCCAGCTCTCCATCTTCGTCGCCCTCGATCCCGGTCATTAGAACGTCTCGGGGAGTCGGTCCATCTTTTCCTAGAGATTTGATGAACTGTTTCACGGCTTCTTGTTCTGCTTCTGTACCGTGAACAAGAATGGTTTGCTGACTGAGTATGTGCAGGCGTGTGTTTTCCAACCGCAAGTCTTGCGATGGTCTCACCTGGATTTTACCTTCCGGGAACCATCGAATGACGAGCAGACCGTCCAAAGATTTTACACGGGAGGCCATAACGTACGGGGCTTCTGTTCCAGTACAAGAAGAAATGTCAATAATAGCATGACTCAACGTCCTACCCTGAGACTTGTGAGCAGTCATAGCAAACGCCGGGGTGATAGGGACTTGCATCCGTTTGATTAAACACTTTTTCCCAGAATACTGGTCTGTAAAAGTTAAGTCCACCACATCTTGAAGCGCAACTGCCTGCCCATCTTCCAGTTTTGGGCAAGGCCGTGGATGTCATGTCATCAACTCTAATAACACACGACACAGCGTGTCTCAAACCAGCATCGTCTGTCCAATACCGAATCTTCTCAAGAGTGCCGGCAGCACCATTAACGATTCCACCATCCACGTCGTAGTTCTGCAAAAACATGACCGGCATACCGATCACCAAAGGTATTCTTCCAAGCCGATGACGAGTCTGCCCCGAATTCATGGCCCATAACCAATTCTGCAGATTTGTATCCGTCACGGTTTCACCACGATGCTTGTCGACAGCATAATACCAGTGCAAAGGCCTGCCCGTGTCTCGAGCAAAAGCCATCGCCGCTTCTTCATTAATAGCATCTTTGATAGCATTCTCATACACGATGACGGGGGCGCTCTTCCATGCCGGGTTCATCCAGTCCGGCATCACTCTGCCAACTGTCCGCTGCAACAAAGTCTCATAATTGTCCCCAGTACATTTCCCGACTCGTAATCGACTTAACAAGCTGACAAAGCTATCGTTCCCTTTCCCAGATTGGCGCATTATTTGATGCAGCATTACCACAGTATCTACGGAATACCACAATACTTTACCGATCATATTCATCTGCTGCAGATTTCCAGTGGACTGTGTATTTAATCGGGCATAAAGTCTCGTTTGACCGACAGGCGGCAGCTGGGCGAAATCCCCGGCGAAAATAACATTGACGCCTCCGAAAGGCTTGTCATTTTCCTTGGCGACCTGTAAAGCCTCGGATACATCATGCATCAATTTACACCCGATCATCGACACTTCGTCCACAAACAAATAATCAACGCCCTGCCACATCGTAATCAAGTCCGCTGTCGTTTTTGTTGGTTTACCACGACGAGGACGCTGTGACAACATCAGTAGAGCATGTAGAGTAGAACCCGCGATATTCTTAGCTGCGATGCCGGTAAAAGAGGACAGTCTAAACCGCCTCTCTTGTCTACGACGCGAGAAGAAGTCAGTCAATGCTTTGATAACAGTGGATTTCCCAGTCCCTCCTGGTCCTCCCAAAAACATCCTAAGCTGTTCTGGATGCTGCTGTAAACTATGTTCAGCTATGATCATGAATGCACGTCTTTGTTCTGTGTTAAGATTATATTCATTCGCGATGTCGTCGAGGTTCACATCCCAGTCCGGATCTCTCGCTTCGATGTCTTGCCGTATTTCTGTGGATGCCAAAGGAACTGAGCCATAGTCCCCAGGGGTTCGGAAGTCCTCTTCGGCCAGTTCTTCAGCGGAAGTTGAAGGTTGGCTTGTTTCCATCACTAATTGATTTTTACGATGCCAGTCGGAACGACGTTGCTCATATATCTTCTCCCAGATTCGCTCTTGAGGAGGTTCCAGGTCATCGACCATTTCGTATGCATCTGGAGGCAATTCAGCATGTTCAGCCGACCCAGACCCGCTTGTCGCGAATAAACCCGCATCCCTCAAGGATTTCAAACACTGCATGACAGCTTGTTCATGCCGCTCTACCTGTTGGGATTTTTTCAAGTCAATGGTGTCCAGGTGGTCCAAAATGTCTGCCTGTAAATCCTCTTCTCCAATAAAATCGTCATCTGCTTCCCGTTCTCGAACATGCGAAGATTCACTCTTAGCCCTGACTCTTCGCCGACGTTCCTCGAAGTGATCATCATGACTGTCACGACACTCGTGCAGTAATTGCATATTATTCATGCGAGCGACCCATTCTGGATGCACCAAACAAAAACTCGACAACGTTTCGGACCAACTTGCACCGGGGACTCGTAAATCGAACGCATGTTTCCATGGCTTAAAGAGCACAAGCATCAGCCAACAATATCTCTCGTAGATCACAGGTCGATCTCTGCATGGGAGAGCTTCTCCCCAAGGAACAGGTACAAGTCGTTTGTGAGGCGGCAGAAGTATCTGAACGTGAGTCTGATACTCTTTATGTCCGAGTTCGAATGGAACCTGGTCGTCTCTGTAGTCTTCACCGTCGTCCTCTTCTTCTTCTTCGGAATCATCGCATTCTTCACCCGATCGACTGGCTCCCCTTCTTAAACTGGCTTTAGTGACCTTCTGGACCTGGGAGATGTATTCCCAAACCAAGAGTTCAGCTAATCTAGGACCCCGCTGAATATAATCCTCAACCAAGGACGATCTTGCGACCAACAAGCCACCCGAATTAGTGGCAATATAGACGTCCTCATTTTCATCGGGGGTGAATGGTGTGTTGTCAACTTGACTAGAATGCTCTAACTTGCCAGATTCACCGCCGTCTTTGTACACTGGCGTCCGGTCCTGATTTTCTTCTATACCCTGTGCCGATTCATCCTCTGGGCGGGAAGCCATCAGCCGGTCAGTGCCTGCAGTAACACGACACTCCAGAGATGGATCCATAGCTTCAACGGCCCGCTCAAAATTGCTCCAATAGACGTTTCGGAAAGAATGGCTCGTATAATGATCTTGGTAACCCGATAAATACATGGCTACTTCTTGGCCTGATAGTTCTTGCTTCGACATCATAGAATATGCGCATCTTTGAAGCAAATGCTTGGTGCGGACGGTCACGCTATCCTCTTCAGGATCAAAGTCTCCCAGTTTTTTGATGGACAGTTCCAAGGCAGCATACGCGACATTGGCCTTTAGCTTGGACTTCGTGATGTAATCAGTAATGTAGTAGAGAACGGCTTTTGCAGAAGCGCCTGACCCTATAAATTTTATGTCCATGTTACAACGAATGCTGTGAATCATCGTCTCATTGAAATTATTGACCCAACCGTCTAGACGTCTCAGATGGATTTCCCCCGTATCAGTGTCTACAATGGTCTCCGGTCGACGCTTATCCCCTCCGAGCTCAAAGCGACATTCCAATGTAGTGCCCTTACAATACTTGTAGCAGGTGGCCAAGTGTTTGTGTAGTTGAGATTTCGCTACCAGATTCCTATAGTCCTGCTGCACAGCGTGATCTCGCAAGTGCTCTGGAACCGATTTTTGTATCCCGCGGACTGCACTAGGATGACATTTCGAGGAAGGAACTTTTACGCGTACGGGGGGAGCATCAGGCATGCAAGTAGAAATGGTATCGTCCAAAAATTCAACTAACTTGCGTCTGAAGTCGGCTTCACCATCCTTCATCAGACGCGCCTTAATTTCATCGGGGTTCAATCCGCCTTCCACCCATACCAGCATGTGACAATGAAGCGTCCCTCTTCCCTGTGCCTCGACACATCCATAGTATGCTCTCACTACACCCAAAGCGCCGCCTTCCATATCCTGCGAATCAGGATCGTAACCCAGAACCATACGAATGAAAGTTTTCATGTAAACCTCAAAGAATTTTGTTGCCACGAATGGATTTTTGGAGACGAGCAAACTCTGTCCGAAAAAATCTGACATCTGAGAAGGCAAGAGGTTGTCAACATTGATATCATCCCCAGCAAGGAAACGAACCACAGGATTAAATACGTCGGCTGGGTTGATGGTAATGTAGAAACTGGGCATGCCTTTCTCAAACATAAGACCTCGGATTTCATTACGCATCCCGACTTTGGAGGAGGATGAAGCAGCTACATGGGATGTCACAGCCCTCACCTCATTCATCAAAGACAAGGCCCACTTCTCTTCTTCAGAATACGGGGTTTTATAATCTCCGCGGGATATCCTCTCAATGACAACATGGATAGCCTCAGGAGAGACAGTGGCAAAATGAGAAGCGACCGAGGGAAATGTTTTATGCTTCACTTTTAATCCGGTATGTAACAACATAGAACGGCGTTGAAGCATATTAAAAACGGAAAAAAGGAAGGAATGATGCTCTTGGAACCGGCGATCTCGAAGGCGGAACAGATGTTTGGCACCCCTCTCAAAGGAAACAAGGCGCGTGCGAGCGCTATCTTCCAGACCACCAACACCATAAGGAAACAGGCTCGGATACATCATCGGCAGCAACGCTGGGTTGTTAAACTCATTGCATGGCTCTGGATCATGGGGAATGCGTATATAACCCTGACCATTTTTCTTGACATGGTTGAATGCCGCGAGTTTAAGATCAGCATATGACGCATCACCATCCACGTCGGAGATAACGACGTTTTGGAAGGGTACTTCCTTGTCTGGAAGAACAGTATTCGATTCACTCTCGTCCTCCTGAACCTGAAACTCGTCTAGATCGATGTTATCATAGCGGGACGTGGATTCTAAGGTAGCTTTTGAGGGAATTACATGCTGAATATGAATAGGCAAGACGGGATTCTGATCGAGTTGCTGGAGAACCTCTTCGTTGAAACGAATGCTTTTGTAAAGCGGATTGTGGTCTCTCAGCCATGATAGCGCTCAACGAACTCTCTTGCCGCAGACCCAGAGGGGCTTGGCTTTATCATGTAGCCATTCCTTTGAAGGTAAATGAGCCCCGACAAATATAACGCACACCGGCGAAGTTATATCCTCAAGACTAGGAGGTAACATCTCTGCAATAGCGCCGGGACACTGAGGGTACACGATCATGTGTCCAACAGTACCTCGCTGCCTGAGATGTTTTTTTGATTGCGTATCAGAATCGTCCTTGAGCTGCACCACCATACATTTGGTACGACACAAAGCCACCATAGACTCTTCGATGATGGTCAACGAAGACAATTCTTCTGGCACAGGTCCTAAATAATTCATGTTAGCCAATGACAAAGCCGGCATTTTACCTTTCTTCAAAGCACTCTTGCAGGATTTGCACAGTGAAATGTTAGGTTCACCTGTATCGACACCAATAACACCTGCCGGGTGTAACAGTGCCCCACCCCACAAGTCAGTGTGCTGGGGCTTCGGAGTATCTCCTAAATCGTGCTTCGGTGTTAGGAGATTGAGATCGACATCAGACAAGGGTTGAAGGTGCCGATGCACACAGAAGTGTTCTTCACCGCAAGAGGCACAGGTGAATTGGGCTAAAGCTTCCGAGCTCGTACGTTCTTGAAACAATCGAACAATCTTTTCTTTCAAATCCCTCGGCGGTGTTCGGGGCCAACTATCCCTTATTTCGCGAATCCTATCCTCTTTTTGTCGGAGTAAGCGATGTTTCAATTCAGCTCGCAAAGCTCGACACTGTCCATTTATATAGTCTTGGGAGTGCTTGTCATCCCACATACCAACAGCATCACGGACTAGCTTTTCCTTACCCTTCTCAAGTCTATTGATATAGTGTTGCAGTTCCGTCCTAAGTTGACCGACGGAGGATTTGGGCTCAAAAGGTAATCTGAGAATGGATAACACTCGTCGCAGAGTACGCAAACTGCCCTTGTATCGTAGAACACGCAAGAGCTGGGTCTGGTAAGACATGTCTGGATAGGAGGGTAACTCAGAAGCCTGCGAACTGGAGTTTGGAGAAACATGAGTGCACAAACCCGAGAGCAAATGTTCGAGAATGACCTGCCTCAGTTCATCGACCTTTAGCGACGGAGAGACGTCTAGACCATGAGAATGACACAGAGAAGATAATGTGGAATGGTGTACAGAATCCAATGAATGTATCAGGCGAACAATAGTCTCAGAGACCGACGCCTGGCACCAATATAACATGTGACGCAAGAATTCTTCTTTGGACATTGCAACGTCGGACACGCCAGGTCGAAAAACTTTTGACAAAAGACACCGCGACTGGACACAGTCAGAACTATCTTGCGACATATACGACATCACTATATCGACAATATCAGTCACAAAAGCCTGTGGAGAGGAATAATGTTGGGCCAATACTGCACAGGCCGGAAAGGATTGAGCGCTTTCCCCAAGCATACAGGAACCAGTCACAAGATGAGAGGCATAAGCCACCCGACACTCATCCATAGACAGGCCATCCGACTCGATGCCATGAGAAGCCAGGGCTTCATGTAATAGACTCAATGTATTTACATATAGATGAGGTACACTGTCCAATAACCCGAAGAACAAGTCACGTAGATATCCTAAATGTGGGCGTTCTGCATACGGTATGCTGAGACCCAAAGCAAAAGCAGTGGCATAACATTCATCCACATCATCCTCAATGAAAGTAGTAATCGCTTCGTCGGGAAGTACAGTATCAATAGTCCACGTTGGAAGGTTGGTGACACCACTGCCGGAAATGGGGCAAGATGTCACGACATTAGGGGAAACGGAGGGGGAGACTGGAACAATAAGGTAAACACTTCAAACGGGAGAGAGGAAAGTAAACTTACCCGGTAAAACGCCAACCCCTCCGATAAATGTACCCCTGCGGAGCATAGTGTCCGATTCGAAAGAATCTAGTCAAAGACATCGATAAGGCAGCGTTACAAATACTGGACACAACAGACCATGGAGAAAGCGACAGGGTTCTGCGTGGAGTTCAGAATGTAGCCAGATACATAGTAAGGAAACGCACGATGATCGTGGACACCAGATGGGAGCAACTCCCTAAGAAAAGTATACCAATCGGAGCCCAAGCAGATATCCTCGGACAATTCTTCGGAGATAATAAACTCAACGAAGGTGCCCCCACAATTGACCCCATGCTCGTAGGCGGCAACGAAAAAACCACGCCGAGGGGCCAGAGGAAGATTCCACGACCGAAGAAGACGAGCGGATAAAATTGACTGAGAACGGCGAGAGAGACGAACGGAGTCGAGTATAACCCCATTCACATTAACACGGCACATATGAAGAGGGCACCGACGCGACGAGACAAAAAGAAGGACAGGGTCCAGATTGTGAGACGGAAACGCACGCCACAGAGCGACCTCAAGGCAGGCAACCAATCACAGCACCTCCACAAAGAATCGGCCGAACAAACCCGCTGAAAGCGTGATAGTAACAGGAGGTCACATGTAAACAGTGACAAGCGGTGACTGTGCCACCCTGAAATTCTGACTTAAACGGAAATTTTGAAGCGCTGGGCCGTGGATTTCTTCCACAAATAGAAATTTTTATGACATCGGACTTCGGGTTAAACTCAAAACTCGGCTACCACCATCCCTCTATAAGACCTACTACTAACGTAGCAGGAATTCCTGCACGTATAAAGAGGTAGAGAAGTTGCGATTTTGCGCTACCGAACAAATTCCCCCCACTACGTCTTTCGATCGCCTCACAGAATATACATCGCTTCCGAATCCTGTTTCTTTCTATTCAAGTTCGAGCTGCTCTTTCAGTCCTGGTTGACTCTTCTCGCTGATTAGAACCACGAAGGTACATGTGCACTTCGTGCTGCTCTCATATCACTAATCCCCGCATTTACTAGCACCGAAATGGCTCAAGTCACTGCATCCTACCCGTTCAACGACCCGGATCATACCTCTGACCTCACTCTACTGTCGTCAGACAATGTCCTTTTCCACATCCACATATCTCTCCTTGCATTTGCTTCTGAACCCTTCTTTCGTACTGCGTTGACGATTTCGCAACCGCAAGGACAGCCTGTCCCAATGGTCAAAGACAGCGAGACCCTTGATACGATGCTCCGCTTCTGCTATCCCGGTGCAGACCCGTCTTTCAAGAGTCTTGCAGAGCTCCATCGCATCGCTGACCTCATGGTGGGAAAATTTGCCATGGAGGAGGTATCAATGAGGGCCCGGGCCCAAATTCGTAAATTCGTAAATGCAGAGCCTTTGCTTGTGTTTGTCGTTGCATATACCCTCAATTGGATTGACGAGGCTATGGAGGCTGCAGACATCGTGCTCAACGGTCCTCTGTTTAAGTATGCCAGTCCCGAGGATATTCCGGAGCTAGATATCCTTCCTTCTCCACGAATTCTGTATCGTCTCTTCAGATACTATGCCACTCGTCGCGATGCGGTATACAATGCTTCTAATGGTTACCATTTTGACATATTTGACTACATCGAAAAAGCGCCATGTAAAACCCATGACATCTTACCTTCTCACCCGGAAGATACCTCGATGCCGATGAAAAGCTGGTTCATAGATTACTGTACCAAGCTCAGGGAGGAGCTGTATCGCCATCCCTCGTTGGAAACTCTTTGTACGTGTGACAGTTATGCTCATGCAAGTGCTCTACAAACCGCAAAGACCTGCCCTGATTGCGCGAAGGGTCACTTGCACATTGTTTTTGATTATTATATTCCTACAACGGTTCATGCGCAAATTGAGAATGCACTGTCAATGGTGAGTCTTTTCTTGACAGAAATCTGATCAATTCTTAAGCGTATCAATGTGAACAGAAATTTCAACTATGAGAAATGAACGACTGCAATTGAATATGATTTGTGATAGTTCGCCAAAGCCTATGTACAATGAAGACATTTACTCTGATGCAATAAATTTTTTTTTCCCTTTGATATCTTTTTCATTTCAGCTCAGGCTCGAAGGACATCCATCTGCAGAGCAACGCATTGAAAAGACTCCCGTATTCGACTAAGTTCCGGCAATCGAACATAGACCAACTCGCCTTTCAGACTTCGTGCCTCCTTGACGAGCTTGTCCCAGGAGCTTGCAGACACTTCGAGGTCCTTGAAGTCCAACGACGACTTCACTGTGATCGTCATGGGGGCAGTCGCGTAGTCCAGGACAATGACGGGAGGATAATCCTGCCTTACATGCTGGGCTTGCTCCTTGATCGAATGCGCGTTGTCGTATATATCGCAAAGTTTCATCCCCTCCAGAAAATGCTCGTCTCTGCTGGTGATATGCATCATGTATCCATCTGCACGAAATTATGACCAATCTCAGCACCAGACATGCAAGAAGATACCTACTGGTGCGCATATCTCGGAGTTTTTTACAAAATTTTTTGTGTTCAGGCCACATTGCCTTTTGACATTCGCGGCTGCAGTAAGAGTAGTAGAGACATCCAGAACACAGCTGCAAGGGCTTTTCTCTATTTGTGAAACGACGAGGGCACTTTGAAATCAACTGTGAACAAGCACGGAAGTTAAAACAAGAGCTACACATACGTTCTGTCTAGCACAAGAGTCGTTATCGCAACCTTGGCCGATAAAGGTAGCCCTAAATAACATTCGCGCAACGACTTGCTCCTTGAGTCTCGTCCAGGCTTGGCGGAAGGAATCATCAGCGTGCGAGAGATTTTCTTCAAGACTTGCACTCGCAATTTTATCCATCCCTTTTTTGCAAGCAACGATGATAGAACGTTGTACGAGGAAAGTGTAGACAACGTCGCAAAGTTCAGTGAGCAATGCGATAAGGGTCGTATTTCCGTAAGAATCCAAGGACAAAGCAAACGGAAGAGATTTGAGAATTAGCTCTAGTAGATGTCGCTCTATCGCTTGCAATAACCATCGGTAACCTTTCGTGAAGCATACTTTGAGAAGATAAGCGCAGCAGATATAGATATTCCCCTCCAGTCCCTTCATGACTTCGAGAGATGGACGTGGTCTATCGCGTCGCAATTCCGCCGTGATTCGCGACATTAGGCGGCATATCCAAAAGACGGAGTGATGGATGAGAAAATGCCGAGCGAAGCACTCTGAATGTATAGTGGTGAAGTACATGATATTCAGGCATTGTGTAAGCGCGTAGCTCGACGGATCTAATGTCTGGGTGCGAGATACGATGCCCTCGAACAGGTGGATGATCCTTTCAGAGGGCATCTTCTGCATGAGATAAACCATAGCAGGAATCGGATCATCACCGACGGGCTTGCAGAAGGAGGACATAAGATTGAATGATCTGGCCTGAAAGGAGAGGTCTTCGCTGACCGCTATGAGGCATATCACGGTATTCGTGAGGGAGAGAATGAATTCAGGTGTTTCGATCATCAATGACCACCACTGTGATTTGCGAGACAGGACAAGTAATAAGGATAAGATCGCGTCCACCATGGTAAACCAAGTTTCGATTTCATAAAGCGATGGTAGTAAGGACGGCGAAACATCGACAACGTGGATATCAAGGAATACAGTGATGTAGCGGCATAGATCTGGCCATAGTCGGGAAACAAGTGCAATGCTACATGCATCCTCTGGCTCGAGATGGGATATGGCACTTTTCAGGCTGACAAGACATGTATGAATGGTGGTCATGTTGTCATCCTGCCATTCTTGGAATAAGGGATCGGCGGGCGTCGTCGGGATGGGAGTAGTGAGAAGATGCTGACGAATCGATTTCACTATGACGGGAAACAGCGTTACATTCTTCGTGGTGTCTTGAGACAGCGCCAAAAGAGCTGGAAGAGATCCGTTTATAGCTTCTTTCTAGTAAGATGGTTAGGTAAGAGTCGCAAGACGATAAGTTCAGTTGCATACCTTATATCTCTCCATCTCTATTGGAGCACGGTCTTCGCGGGACACAGGCACTGCTCAAAAGGATGAATCGAGGGATAAGGACAAGTAAAAGGCGTGTTTGCCCCTGTATACCTGCCAGGTCATTGAGGAACCGCTTGCTTCTTTCGGATTCGCAGGCTGCTCCAGCGACGATTATAGACATAATACATCCGCCCTGAGTGATTTCCCAGGGAAAATGCCTATTGACCTTCGAAGGGACAGCGTAAATCAGTGATCTGCAATGGACGCATCTTGCAGGCACTTCACACGCTACCTACTGCCTCAATTGCAGCCAGAATACCTCACCGCGTCATCTCCGCACGCATCGAGGGCTTCAAAACGCGCCCCTGGATAAGGCACAAAAATGCGCTCTTGGAGAGCTACATCGTTATACAAGAACAAAAGAGAAGTCCGGTTCTTGAAGCCTGAAGACTTGATCCTGCCAGTAGGATGCTGAAACGGAAGTTATTATGGAACGCGAAACGTCATGCCAAGGGATCCCCTCTCAGATGTACTTCCTAGAGAGTACTGTGAACAGTAAGGAGTCATTATTGGATTTGTCGTACATGCTCCGATAGAGAGAAGTGGAGAGGGTTTCCTGAGGCTCTAAACAACGATGCCAAAACTCTTGCCCAGGAAAAAGGAGAGGATGGGCAAGCTCATTACGTTCAGCACCGTGACTTCCAAGGGCGTGTTTCTAGCCAGTACGATTATATAGAGTGGTGAAAACCTTCCTGTATGAGGTACATATAAGGACGCGAGAGAACAGAATACGTTGGAAGAACTCCTTGTTAATCTAGTAAGTTGTTAATCCTGATGTTATTGAGAAATGAGGACGTGAGAGTGGGTTTCCAGGTGATTTCGGCAGCCCTATAGTGACTTTGTAGTGCCTGCTGGCGGCGGTTGGTGCCAGAGGTCATCGGAAGCTTCTCGAGCTTTTCGTCGTCGTAAACAGCAGTCCGACCATCATTCTGTTCTGGAGGAATGGAGGAAGGAATTTCAGAACGCCACGCGAGTCAAGGAAGGCGAGACCACGTGCGGTGGACCCGAGATCCACGTGCTCGATCGCGCCACGGTCTCGACCTGGATTTTTCTTTCATCTTCAACCTTGACTGGGTACCTTCTGCCCCCCCCCCTTTCTCTCTAGGTAACCAGGGTATAGTGATACTGATAGAACAATTGCTGATGCTTATATGTATCAGGGCCCCGTATAACCTCCCAAGGTTCTCATTTTTGTCATTTCCCCTTTTTAAGTATGTGCTGCCTTGTTCGAAGGTGTATGACTCAACCTCTGTCTAGCAATGAGTGTATACAAAACTACAACCCAGACTACTTCATATCCCTTTTGATGGCGCAGACTCTACCTCAGATCTAAGCTTGGTTTCGTCGGACGGGATGAAGTTCTTTATTCATGAAGCTATCCTCTCCTATGTTTCGCAGTTTTTCAAAGACATGTTCACACTGCCCCAAGCTACTCCCGGAGAGTCCTCCATTTCGATGGCTGAGGATAGCAAAACCGTCGACAAAATCCTTCGTTCTGTTATCCCGTCAATGACTCTACCTTCGACAGTTTGACAGAACTTTCTCAGGTCGTTATGGTTATGATAAAAAAATTCCTCATGGATGATGTTGCTAAGAAGGCTCGGGATCAACTCCTCTCGCACACGGAATCAGAGCCGTTGCGCGTCTTCGCTATCGTCTACGCCATCCAATGGAGCCGAGAGGCCAATGATGCGGCAAATGCGGCCCTGGCGGTCGGCAGCACCATATTCTATGTATACAACATACCGGAACTTGATTTTGTTCCTGGAACAGTTCTCTACGACCTCTTCGAAGTTCAGGACAGACGTCACCAGTCTCTACAGGATTCTGCAAATCCAGAGACTTATTCGCACGCCTTCAGGACTATTTTTCTGGTCGTTGCAACATACACGATGTCCCTTCTCGTCGATTATCCGGTCTGTTGAACAAGAAGTGGTTCATTGACTACTGCGCCACTCTTGAACTGGCATTTCGACCGTGTGCGTCTTACGATACCTTGGACTTAGATCAGCCTAGAGCTCGAACACGCGCTCTTTGAACCGTCCTTGAGTGTCGCTATTGTTCTGAAGGATATGTCTCAAAGGTAATCTTTGACGTATTTATACCCGAAGGAAGGAAGGAAGTAGATTTTATTGTCATTGATCGACTGAAGAGCGATCTAAATGATTTGGTGAGGTTTCTTACCTGCGCAGAAACAAGAATGCTCACAGATCCAATCCCAGACATTCCAGCTGTAGGTGATTACCACTTTCCGATGTAAAGACTTGGCTATGCTTGACGGTGTATTTTGGCTGCTCGATTCATAGATGTCTCTTTCTGAAATCCTCACGAAGGAAGAAAGGAGCACCGACTTTTTGACTGACTGGCTTTTGGTTTTGGTTAGAGTGGTCTACTGTCTTTTGTGTTGCTTATCGCCTGCAAGTAATGCATACAAAGAATTTTAAGTGCTCAACTTTGTGTTCGACATCTCCTCGATCATTCAGTGTATTCCACTCCACCCAGATGTTATAAATCCAGGTGTCGAAAACAATCTTCCAGACAATAAAAATCGAATCAAATGCAAACATTGTGGCTCGGAGTGACGTAAGAGGTTCACCGATACCCAGGGACGCGTCACCCGCGTTCTGTGGCACCGTGGCTTCTTCCTTTTCCTCCATCATCACCTACTTAAGTGATCACGGAAGCAAATCACTTCAACTGTGCTGGCTAGGATACAGTATTACTGATAAGCGCCCTTCATTCTTATCAGTTTCGTCTGTTTCAAGGTGTACTTACAACAGATACTTTCAAAAGTGTTCAGTGCGTCTCTCAACTCTATCAGTTTCAACCTCAGAGCATTCTCTCATGTGTTTCGCAAGGAATGGACTATGATGACCAACCCCCGCCTCGGGAGTCCATAGCGTCCTATCCATTCGACAGCTCTGATGTCACCTCTGACATTGTGCTGCTGTCGTCCGATAAAATCCACTTTTACTGCCACAAAGTCATCCTCTCCCTCTCCTCCCCCTACTTTAAAGAAAAGTTCACTATACCCTCAGGGTACGTCGATGCGGCCCCCATCCTATTCATGAGCGAAGACAGCAAAGTCCTCGACAAAATCCTTCGCTTCTGCTATCCCGCCGTCGATCCCAAGTTCGAGAGTCTCTCCGAGTTTTATCAGGTCGTCACAGTTATGGTCAACAAGTTCTCCATGCGTAATGTTGCTAGACGGGCTCGGGGCGAATTGCGCAAGTATGCGAGATCTGAGCCCCTTCGGGTCTTCGCTATTGCATATGCCATGCAGTGGAACGAAGAAGCGGCGGAGGCTGCTGCATGCGTGCTCAACCGGCCTTTGTTAGCTCTCGACGATCAGGATATCCCTGAGCTCGATATTCTCCCATCACCTCGCGTCCTCTACCGTTTGTTCAAAACATATCGCACGCGGTTTGATGCCGTTCTTCAGGCAGCAAACAGGTGCGATGATGATGCCATACTCGGTGTGCTCAACGGAATTGCGTGTCCTGAGCACGACTCGTTTCCCGACCCTGAGGGCACGCCTACGAAGACGTGGTTCGTGAGGTATTGTACGTCAGTTCGGGAAACGTTGAGCCACGAGCCTTCGTTAGAGACGCTTTTCACCTGTGACGAATGGGCCCGACCGCTTGCCGAGCGTACAGCTTCTTCGTGCGGGCATTGCTCACAGCTCGACCTAGAAAGCTTGTTTCGCAATTGTATTCCCTATGTTTACTTGAGCAATATCAAAAAGGCTCTGAAGATGGTAGGCATCCGGGTGTTTGTTCCTGTCTCCTCACTGACTTCACTTTTTACAGAGATTCGAGCTGTAGCTTCTTCTGGGATTTACCGCTGGATTGATACCCTTTTCAATATGATTCAAATGACCGTGTTTCTTCCTTCTTGAGTAGGTTGGGAAACCCCTGAGCAACGCCAAGACCTTTGCTGCTCACTCTCATCCCGCTCTTCTCAGAGACTATCGCGAACTCTTTAGGTATGGAAAGGCAGCCTGCAGGACCGGTAATCACGCTAGGATTTACACGTACTATAGCAGCGTACATGAGCCTATTTTACCTCAGAGATGGTATGATATTTTCTGATTTTTTTTTTTCGGGTTGTTATTAACATTCTTCAGACATGAACGACAACTACGCTGCGGTCGTCCCTCATTCTTCTGATGATAAGTACCCCTTGTTTCGTCAGACAGAGTCGTCTTCCACACTGCCGACTTACGACCGGTCTGACCGTACAAAACAGAAGAAACTTCAAGGGTAATTTCTATTTTTTGCTTTGAACGACCAGAGCCTAGCGTAGCCTTGCTAGATAGCGTGACTTTGGAATAACTTATAGAATGTAACTATGAACGCTGACCGCCCTTTCATGATTGCCGGTTTTCAGCTAGAACGCTGTCTCTGAGGCATATTTAGGCATCCTGGCTGTTTGCAGAAATTCGCCGAGGCCGTAAGCTGACGGATTCTTGATTGGTGTCGTTATTTATAAATACAAAACACAGTACGTATGCCTTACATATCCTCTCATTCGGTGGATGGCGGTGGTCAGAAGAAAGAAAGACAAGATGAGTCAGCATATACGGCCTAGATCTGTACCACCATGACCGGATACCTTTGCTGTTTTGTACATCTCTCCTAGTCCCCATTTTACTGCCATGCGCATTGATGAACTCCCCCCAGAAACTATAGAGGAGATCTTGCTTCATGCGGATCCCACTACCATCGCCTCGCTATCCCAGTGCTCTCGCTTTTTCAACACCCTGATCAATCATGGCCCGGACCAGCACTTATGGCGGTGGCTCTACCTCATTCAGCCTCTCGATGACCCTAGGGAATGTGTATCCCTCAACGGTGACCCACAGAAGGATATTGACTGGAAGAGGGAACTCCAGAGATTCATTCGCGCCCGGACAGTGGTTAAGGACGTTAGCGTATGTCGGCCGGCTGAGCGATGTGCCATTCTGCGGACTATGATACATCTGATAGAGTACATACCGCCGCGGAAGTGGTCCTTTGTAGAGGGCGGTACATCAAAGAACCTGATTTGGATTCGGGATGTCCTCAGCGGTGGAACGTTTATCGACCCAGACACTATCACCTGGGTGTCCACTGATGCTGAAGAGATTCAATTACGCGACAAGTTGCATACGTACCTGGGGCTTACTTCTGCGGATCGTACACCGCGCGCACTAGTCGAGTCAAGGGCGTATGTGTACAGTTTTAGGAACTACTCGTGGGAGACAGATTTTGGGCCGTTCTTTGAGGATGGAAAGGTGAATTGGGAGCATCTTAGAATGGTACGACATGTACTGGCGATGCATGTACACGACGAAGAGACTACGCCTTTCCAAATGAGTTTGGAGTTTACCCAGATACAGATGGCGAGCTTGGCGGATACTAGAGACTGGGCGGGCATCGAGGGGATTTGGTGGTGTGGGTTTTGCTTTTGCGACCATTCAGATCTTACATGTATGTTTTTTCGGTTACTCTCACTCATCATGTTGGCTCAACATGTCCAATAGTATATAATTTGACGACAGTGAGTCACTTACCAGGTTGATTTACTCTATATTGACTTCCATCCAGACGGTGGATGGCTCTTTGGATGCTAGCCTCTTTGAAGATCCTGGCTTCACTGATGTCTTTCGTTCCGTGGAAGTAACCATCCGTATCTTGGAAGTCTCGCCGGATCCCAAGCACCCCAACTATCCACGTATATATTTTGGAGGTTCCATGGGACAGCATTCCATGTCCACGATGAGTGGATATGTGTATATGACGGACGACAACCAAGTCCGATGGCGTTTCGTGAGTCTCTTTCTTCGTTGTCTTGTTTGCGAATTTACGTGCTAGCTTAGCGGTCTGGAGAACAAGTAAACCCTATATGGAGTTCGGAAGGAATACAGGTGGGGGGGTTGCGGTCTCTGTATGGTGTTCTTGGAACCTGGACAACGACGTTTCATAATCCGAATGATCCAGTTGGTATGTTCTGTTTAATTTCTTGTGGAACAGTTCTGATGGTGAAGCAGGACCTTTTTGGCTTCGAAAGGCGATAGATCTGCCTCAGGAAGACTGAGTTGACCCTATACATACTCTTGTTGACCGTAAGGTACACGGGTGTCTCTAGTAATCTCAAAGCAGTTTATCGTTGTTAGTCTCATCGGTGGGATTCACATCTAGCTGAATAGCAGGTATTGGTTACGCAGCTGTAAATATGGGAGCAGGATCATCTCGTCCTACACAACTGATTAAAAATCTACCATCATTACCTCGAGGACGGGATGACTACAACTCTCTGGAATTCAAGTTCTTTGATTCAAAGTTCTGGATGTTTGTGGACCTGACAACGGATATCTATTTCTGTCAAGCCGTAGCAATGTTACCTCAACGTCTATGTATTCGCCGGGCCGTACATACCTTCAATGACCGTGAGAAAATCTTGACTGCCCTTTGCATCGTGTATTCACGGCGATAACAAGCTTGTCTTTGCACCACCACACCAAAGGCGATATCGACTCTGATACCCTGACAGCATGTCAGATCAGCCATCTCCGCCAGCAAAGCCCAAACCAGGCTCTTTACGCGACAGGATTGCGGCTTTCGAGAAGCCCTCAAATGTCTCGACACCAGGGCCTGCACCTGTTCCTCGACCGAGGCCTGGCGCAGTGTCGTGGAAACCCAGAGTACCATCTCCACCGTCGGTGCACCCTGGTGGTGACTCTTCAACTTTGGAGCGTAGGACAGGAGGGATGTCCGCCTCAGATGCGAAGGAAAGCATCGGTAAAGGTGGAAGTTTGAAGGAACGTATGGCGGCGCTCCAAGGACGAGGTGCATTTGGTGCGCCCCCGCCACCAGTTGCTCCCAAACCTGTTATCGAACGTCCCAAATGGAAGCCTCCCCCTCCTGTCGCGTCTCCTCCACCAGATGACCATCCAGAGAAGGACGACGTCACACGCAAGTCACCCGAGATTCCATCGAAATCCCCTGATTCTATTCCGGCCCAGCCGTCTCCTCCTATCGAAGGTGAGCCCGACGCGCCCGCTGTAGCCGTAGCTGTGCCAGAGCCCGAGGGACAAGCTGCAGATGAGGCTGACCCTGAGGATGAAGAGCGGCAACGACGAGCCACCATTGCAGCTAGGATGGCTCGATTGGGTGGCGCCCGCG